AATCCATTTGAAAGTCATTTTTTCCCCGCGCGCACCCGTTTTCTGCTTCCACAAAAACGTTTCAAAAACCAAGCCGACGATGTTAATTTTTACATGATTACATATAGTTATGACTCGTTTTATATATTCATGTGTTGATTTTATTTGCCCGCATACCGCACGTTAAGTGTTGTTTGCTGCATTCGTTCAGCAGCTCGTGTTCCCAAGAACACAGCGACGCTAAAAATCGTCCTCTTTCCTTCCTGCAGGGTGGTTTATTTTCAAATCCCGAAATTTAGAATAATTTTGATATTAAGTGGTCATGCATTCATGCATTCGTTATATGCACTCATTTCAATAAAGTTAGTCAACAAAAACCTAGAAATCTGTGATCGCTGAGAATCATGGGAAATATTTCATATTCAACAAGTAAAGGTTTCGACACAAACTGCAGCAGTTGAGGATGCTCAGAGGAGGTGAACTAACTGGTAGAAGATCTCAAGTCCATCAACAGTAATCAAGCGGTTAAAACATATAAAATGTATCTACCCATAATCCTTGTCGGTCTTAGCTTTGTAGCTTTTGAGGTGACTAACTTTATTGAAATAACTGTATACACTCAATAGCAGGGATATTGGAGTTACACTCTATTGCCTTCAGACAATTGTTACATTTAGGTCAGTTTCTATGCATTTCATTGTATTGACCCAAATGCCTCGACTTGAAACAATTGTTTGAAGGCAACAGAGTGTAACTCCGATATCTGCTATAAATAATCGTTGTCGGGTTCACAAACATAGAACATAGAGACCGAGATGGCACATGGGAAATGACATAATAATATTATAATTTATTCATTTGCGCCATCCATGCAGTCGGTTTAGAATGCCAAAAACAGTGGATGATGCCACGGGCCGCCGGTCACAGCATGCATCTAACATACTTCCCATGTGCCATTTCGGTCTCAGCTTCTATGTTCTATGTTTCTGAACCCGACAGCGATTCTTCAATTGAGTGTATGCTATGTAGCTCGCAATCTGATCGAGAAATTTTGAAGGGCCAGCCCTGAGTCTTTACCGGAAAAAAATTCACTGACTCAGGGCTGGCTTTTCAAAATTTCTTGATCAGTTTGTGAGCTACATGACCGAGCCATTTGTCTCTTTGCTAATAATCATTATAGGAAGATGAACATATTGGAAGACACGTTGAAGCACAAACCACTTTTAGTCGGCATGACAACAAATATGAGCGCGTCTAGTCAGTCTAATGGCACAATATTTTTGCTTTTGGACTAATTGGTCTGCAAGTGTTGACATGAATCTTTTTAAAGCTATTCTTTCGTCGTTTGGCGAAAACGGTTGTAAGGGGACCTCCATATTTAGAAAAAGGTCGTTGCTAGGCAACTTAAAATAGCATGGAAGCCAATCCCTGAATGTAATGTTTTTTGCCCGTATTCTGTTCCATTTTCATTTCTCTTAATATTTCGATTTGAGGATGAAGTTTTCACATGGTAGACACTAAACTGAAGATAAGCCTAAAGTAACATTATTTGCATATCAGTACGACACCCCGACAGCATACACAGTATTTTCGCGAGTTTTGGTAATGATAATATTCTTGTGCGTCAGTTTATCCCGAAAGATAAAAGATAATTTTCCTAAAGGGAAGAAAAGAAAATGAAACACCCCATCATCTTGGTAATCAGTAGCGGATGCAGCTTAGTCGAATGCTGCTTAGTTTATTCAAGGAAATAAAGATTTGATGATTAAATTTGATATGTACCCCGTGGACTATAGCTAGCTTCACAAAAGACATGTTTATTTGACATTTTACCGAATATTGTTGTGAAATAAGATAGAATGTTGATTTAAAATCTTTTCTTTTCAGAAAGACAAAATTCTCGATTTTACGGTGTCTTCAATTTTATATTCTCGTACGATTTTATGATGATATTACTGAAAAAATATGGTCGGTAGACTGACAGTCCATAAAATCCCCATGCCAATGAAAAAAAAGAAAAGAAAAAAAAAAAAAAAAGAAAAAAGAAAAAAAAAAGAACGTATCAAAATGAACTTCGAGATGCGATAAATATCAGTAATTCCGATCCTTTCTTTCAATGTTTGTATATATTGAATTAAATATTCTTAAATAATCAAATCTCCCAGCTCGACAACTGATGAGATTAATTAACTTCTTAGCAGACCAATATGACTTCCGGGAACTGAAAAGCATTCACATGAAGATTAATTTGAAGCAAAAAATCAATATAATCATGGCAGCTTTTCTCACTTCAGACGGTTATGCGCTGTAAACGATTTTCTTGCTTTAATTTAATTTAATGTCGTTTTTTTTCCCTTTGAGGCTTAAAGAGATCCATTAAACTACCCACAACACTTTTAGCTTTGAGTTTTAACGAAAAACCTCTTATTACCCATAATTCATTACGAACCCTTTTATCAGTTTGCAATGCATAGTGGGAAAAACATTATTTCCCGGGTCCCCTCCACTAATATCCCGTATGGGCATACAAGGTTACTATTCAACCCTTTCAGCGTCAAAATTTAAAAAATAATATTTTTGGTAAATAAATCATAAATGACTTTTGATAAACTCAATCAACAATAAGACTCAAAACGGAAATTTCGTCTCTTCCGAGTCAGCTATCATCACTAGCTCTTCGGGCGCGCGTGTAAAGAACCATCTTATTGTAGTAATAGATGAATGTTAAAAAATAAGATTTACTGACCTCGGTTTTATTAAGGGCCGTCAACAATTGGTTCATAGGAAATTTTACACACCACACCAGCTTGTATAAAAACTCCCAAGTCGTTAGATCCTGGAACTCTAAGACCAGCTCTCCAATTTCATGTTGATCAGTGCCGAGAAGTCTTGAAGTCCTTTGCGTCATCTGTACGGCTATCTGAAAAAGATACAAACGAGAATACAGATAATTTTTATTAATGTTTAATTAACAAATAAATAAAGTCTGTAAATAATATAATTCAATAAGAAAGATATATAAAATGCAGGTGCAATAAAATTCAGAGAATTTGAAACATTTCTATGCTAGATTATTGAAAAAATTGAAATGTCTATATCAAATACGATACAGCTAATTCAAAAAGGTTGAATACTGAATACAAGGAGCTAGGGAAAGCTAAACAAATGGGAAAATTGGAAAGGAGGTTTTTCTATGGGGAAAGGGTTTTGGTCTTTGGCTTCGAATGGGAAAATGGCTTCTAAATTTTTCACTTTTGCGAAGTGGGAACTAAAAGTTTATCCTGCCTATCCCGCATCTCCCACAGAGCTTACTGAAGAGACGCTCTCTGAGGTAATTAGTATATAAGAGCCACACTGATGGTAAATAGGATCACCATGGCTACCAAGGTGCACAACATTCCTAATTCGATCCATGAAAATTAATGCAAATGCTTTTCTTTTTATTAGATATTTATGACAAATAACTGGTGCTGTCCTCGTAGACAAACCTGTACCCGCCCTCAGTAATGCGTCAGTGTGAACAAATTAACCAATCGGTCCGTCTCTTTCACAGTTGCCTGTGCCTTCTTGAAAGGTAGCCGTGCCTTTGCGAAGCGAGACGAACGGTGAGCTTGCAATGATAGAGACCTTTTTAACACCCGTTGGACAATTATTCACATGTCTCTATCATTGCAAGCTCACCGTTCGTCTCGCTTCGCAAAGGCACAGCTACCTTTCAAGATGGGGCAGGCAACTGTGAAAGGGACTATATTGGGAAACTAGACAAAGGAAAAAAGCTACAGTTTCAAGAGTTGGACTATAGGAGAGTGTTGATTGGAGTGCAGGTCGTAGATCTACTCGAGGAAGAATTGTGCCCTGGTATTAAACAAGAGTTAAACTCATGTATTATCCTGGTGGAACATCACCAGCACAACATTTTTTCGACTCATACTATTGATCATAATTAATCAAATGAGTTTAAGACGGATCTATCTCCATAATCTATTTTATTTTAAGCCGGCTAATCCTCCCACAACCACCTTCACTTACGTCTGTGATCTATATATAGCCAAAATTGTCTGCTATGCAAATGACTGAGGTATAATACTTTTAATCGATCGCTTTTCCAAGTCAAAACCACTCTCATGCCGGTAAGTGTTGGATCGGAGTTGTCCGCGGAAGGCAGCGAAATGAGAGAGTGGAAATTAATTTAGAAATCTAGAGCGAAACAATCAAACCGTTTTTCTATTGTTCCTAGTCATTCATTTAGAGAACTGAAAGATAATCCCACCAACTAATTGGCGATAAACGTCATCAATGACGTCATTCATATAGGTTATTAACGCAAAGAACGCGCGCATTGGAGTTCCCAATCATATGTATAAACAATATCATGGATTTAGCTTTAAAAGGCAATTTATATTTTTAATTGAAAAACAGTTACTTTTATTACTAGCGTTTGGCCAGATTTTAGTGGAATTGAAATACCAACGAAGCTCACGAATTCTTCACATCGATGTTTTTACAGTCGTTGCTTGACATCTGAGCAATTACATGCAATTCAATCGAGAGGATTTACATTGGAAATTATTGTAATAGTCTTAGCACCATTTTATTGCAGTTTGAACTCTTTTAATTGAATTTTTGGCTTTCCTTGCTTTCTTCTGACCGTCTCGTACTTTGAAAACATCATTATTCAATAGACTTTGCGTTTGTTATCATTACAGTTAATAATGATTACGTTTGAGCCGAAAAATCCCTACCATGCTTTCAAAAAAAGTTTGACATAATCCCCCAAAAAGGCTAATTCGAGTTTTACTCAAAGCGAATCTTGAGTTTTTTTTATTGCCGTAAAATCCACTCCAAATCTGTCAACATTTTATTTAATTATTCTGTTACGAGCCATGAAATATGTGCTGTGTTTGTCTTTGCTTTAGCGCTCTCTATCGGCTTTATTACTGCGACAAGGAAAACATGAACTACATGTTCCGGTCTTAGAAATAGTTCATATTCCATTGCGAGGTCGTGCCGCTGATCAGAATCTCGATTCTCCCAAGGTCGTCGCTTGATCTGTGCAGTCAGTGGGTGTGGAAGAAGCGACCGAGTTGAAGTTCTGTCGTGTCTTCCACCATGGTGTTCGAAGGCTGTTGTTTGACTCCAGAAGAGGCCGATCAGAAGACTCGATCGAAGAAAATAGACAAACAGCTAGCTCAAGAGAAGGCACAGCTTCGCCGTCAAGTTAAAATCCTACTGCTCGGCGCTGGGGAAAGCGGCAAAAGTACATTTCTCAAGCAAATGCGAATCATTTATGGCAAGGATTTTAGTGCAGAGGATCTCAACGAATTCAAACCCATAGTCTATAGCAACATTCTGAAGGGAATGAAGGTTTTGGCTGACGCTCGAAGAAAGCTAAGGATAGATTGGGATGCTCCAATAAATGAAGCAGAGGCCGAAAAAATTTTAACATTTCAAGCTCCTCCACGAATTGATACAGAACTGTTCTTAGAATATGCACAGAGTGTGACCAATTTATGGTCAGATTCAGGGATTCGGGATGCATTTGAACGCAGACGTGAATTCCAACTGGTAGGAGAAGTTTCTTTTGCTGTTGTATTGCTGTACGCAAGCTAGATAGAAGTATTACCCTACACTCTTGTCTAAGTAGCTCTTAGGTATACTATTGCCCCCAAACTTCGATCCTATGGTTGTCGTTATACCTTGGAGCAGAAAAGCGAAAGAGCTGCTCTTGATTACCAAGTTGGTTTTGGGCGAGACAAGGTCGACGATCGCCCTCAGTATTATGTTCTCTATCGCTATGCGTAGAACTTGTTCTGACTCTCTATTAAATCTTACTGTTTGATTTCTCATATCTCGATGTGGCTAGCGCATATGGTTGGACATCGAACTATAAAATGGCCAACTGAATCGGGGAACGGCTTGGGTTGACCTTTTTTTTGCCCCTGAAAATGGCCAACCAACTTTCCTCGTGTCTGCGAGACATTTTTCGCTCGTCTTGATGCTTCATCGCAGTTAATACTGTGATTTCTTTCTTTATTAAAAGGCTTTTATGTCGATACCCAACCTATTAGTTGAATTTTTGAGAAGATTGAAGTTGATGAATGTGTAATTTAGTGTTTGTTTTGAAACTAGTCTGCCTTAGTTTGACTCGAGTAGCAAAAAAAATTTCATCGAATAACAGGAATTCCTTCTTCTCTTGCAGGGCGATTCAACCAGATATTTTCTCGATAATCTTGAGCGGATATGTAGGCCGGTAAGTAATCTTTCTCTTACGTTGAAAATTAATTATATTTGTGTCCATAATGAGAGAAAATAAGAGTGATGTTTGGGTCATTGTTCTTTGAGTGGCTGATAGTAAACACACTGTACTTGTGAAGTCTATCTCCTTCGAGTAAATGAATTTCTTTCGCTTCGATCGCTGTCAGTGGTCTCGAAATTGAAGAGACTGAGAATTTCGTCTTATTTAAACAGATCGTTCGATATTTTAAATGAAATTATGGTCTCAGTTATGTTGAGTTGCTGTAACGTGCCGATCTTGAGACCAGCTCTTGTAGTGTGCTTATTGCTCGTGCCGGCAGTGAACGAAGGTCAATGTGCATTCTTTGATCATACTATTTGGTGTCTAACAGAACAAAACTGTATCTTTTTCGTCTAGTTCGAGGTTTAATTGTGATAATTTGATCCCCTGAGCCGAGGATTGTTCCTAGAGCACTCACGGAGATGTTGACTTGATTTCCAACACAAGATAGACTTTAATGGTTGCAGTCAATTCATGATGACTGGTGCCAGGCTGTGAAAAATGTTGCTATAAATTGTTAGTCCTGTATCAATATAAGAGAGCACAAGAAGAGATCATTTATAAACAAACCGATTCAACACGATGTGAAGAGCTATCCTTGCCGTCGGTCGAATCCAACCTTAACTTGACTCTTGGCTGTAATTAAGAAAGACTCTAGCTACTGCAAACCAGCTTTGCAATGTTTTTTTACATCGCCTTTTAAATTGCAACTGTGAGTCCTATTTCAAGGATCTGCTAAAAAGAATTCAAGATCTTATGTGTGGTTTTTCGGTTGTAGAAGGGTTGTCTTCTCGTTTAACGCCCAGTTTTGTGCCCATCCTTCGTCTCCAACACCATATACTCGATTACAGACGATTTAAAAACCATTACTATTCATTGTTGCGAGCTTTCTAAGCTTTTAGAAGCGATCTTAATTTCTACATTCCAACGTATAGTCAAACTCTTTAATACGATCCGAATAAACTTAAAAGAAATATTTGTGTAATATATCAAAGTACGCTATTTGTTTTATTAAATTTTCAACCTAATAATAAATGATGCTGTGTTGTAGTGCGAGTAAGAAATTTATAATTGCATTTTTTTCTAAATAGATTTAATTTTTGCGTCTAGACCCCCTTGTGACCCAATAGTGATACCATAGCTACCGTCTTGTAATAAATCTGTTTTTTCAATATACGATCAGTAACAACGCCCTTCTGCTACAAAATACACAGCTCTGGAATGCTTTGGAATTTGGCAAGGAAATTCTTCTAAAAATCACAAATAAATATTAATATTCTTGTGTACTTGGCTTGATTAAAATTCCTAGTAACGAGAAAAAGGTTAGAATGGTGTTTTAGCTCATGGTTGAATGATCTTTCTTAGTTTTATTCTTGGTCTAAAATTCGAAATGAATTAAGTTTGCACAGCAATCCTGTATGATTCATACCGACAGAAATTAAGCTCATAATACTTAAATCAGATATTTTTTATACTTATGCATGTTATTAACTTGAATGAGCTTTTCATTGGCATATTATTGTCAACTTGGTTATCTATTTTCTTCCCTGTGACTGGCTTGCGAGATAAGACTGCTATATGGATCTTATGGATCTCCGATAGGAAGGGTATTGAAGACAATGTGGAGATGTTCTGAAATATCAAGATAAATATGAAAACCCTATTTGACCCAAGCTTGGCAGTCTACAGTCCTTCAGATTTTAATATACAATTACAGCTACCTAGATTTCATCGATCATCCTACCAGTTTTTGAGATTATTTCTTCAGGAGGGGGAGGTTATGTGAAATTATCAATATTCAGCTCAACAAGCAAGATATTTATCCTTGATTTTTGCTATTCCTTTTAGCTTTTTGAAAATTTAATAACCACAGTATGGGTAGATTTGAAAACAATCAGCAAGGCTAAGGATATATAATGTATATAGAGTGGTTTTCAAAAACCAGTGAAACAAAGTGTAATAACTAAGGTGTAATAAATTGTAATACACCGAAAACACAAAAGAAAATCAAAAGAAAATGCGGACAATAAAGTGTATTTAAGTGTAATAAGTTAAAGTGTATTTCACAGGTTTTTGAAAACCACTCTATTATTCTGAAAATAGCAGTAAAAATGTAGTAATAGTAAAAGTCAAAAGATTATATTATAAATTCTCTGTTTGATATTCATGATTATTCAGTTTATGTTACATCTTGTTTGTGATAGCTAGAATTTATTGCCATAAGCAGAGGTTAAAATTCATAGTTTTCTTATTTTAATCAGTATACATAATTACTTGTTGGTATAGAGTCCTCAGTGCTAACAAAATGAACAAAATGTTGTCGTCGTTTTTGGCAATGTGTTGGGTTAGATAGTCAAATGCATCTTTTTTGTGTTTTCAAATGTAACACATATATGTGCAGCACTCCCTTGGTCTTGGGAAAATTTGCACTCATGTTTAAGTGAAAATAAACATTAGTTTTACAATTTATATATTTTTTACAATAATTTGGAATTGTTAGCCTAGTTTTACCTTGCTACAGAGAGAATGGATGAAGAACATAACAGTTTTTGTTTTGCCCAATCGACAGAGTCTTTCAAAAAATCAAATTAGAATTTACGAGTTGATTTTTGCAATTTAGAGAAAAAAAAACAGCAAGCCCACAGAAAACAATTGAACCACAAGAATTCTTCTTACAAAGAACTTTATCAAGAACTGCTGCATTAGCAGCTAGTCTACACTACCAGTGCTCGAATCCCCTTCCTGGAATGACAATTATTAAAAATGGAAAATAAAGAGCTAGTTAAATATATATGATAGAAAAACATTTGTCAGATTTTTAATCCAAAGTGGCTAATTGATTATCAGAAAGCTTGTAATGATTGTGTTTTGGTAAAAGAGTTTTTCAGTTCAATTAGACCAAAGTTACGCTGATTGTTTGTCTAGATGACTATTCCTTAATTACTCATCTTGACATTCAAAAATTTTAATTACACTTAAGTGAAAGACGTGCCAATTTTTAAACAGTGTTATAACAACTTGACACGATCCAAATGAATTTGGCTGTGCATTGGACAAAAAAAGAGTGACATTTATGTAATTCTTCACTTTATTTTAAGTTGCTTCAGTCATTGTTGTAGCATATACCTAATGAATTTTATGCCGTATGACAACCTTTGAAAGCAAAGCTGATTGGTTGGAAAAAGATGAACAGCTAATAGTTAAAACTTACGATGAATCAACCACAACATTTATTTTCCACAATTTTGAATTTAATGACCAGGGTGGCAAAGGGATTTGCATCATGTTTCACAGATCAAAATTTCTAAAATTCACTCAATACATATAATTTTGAGGCACAGTGATAAATCATAATTTTTTACTGAATTTTTATTTTTCACGAAATTGAATCAATCATTCATGGATCACACATTTCAACAGAAAATTCATGCATCACGGTAACCCTGGAATTTAGGAATTACCCTTAATATTTGCTGTTTTCACTTATTGCATTAAATGCATTTATTTTAGCCCAAATCACACATCGCCTCTAGCCCCTGTGACACCCTGAGTGGCTAGCATTTTAAGTACTGACAGGTGTTTGTGTTTGCAAACATTGATGAAAGGCATCTCTCATTAAAATTTCTCAACCATTAGACAAAAAAATCTCTTTGTTTCCATTGCAACGAGAATCTGCTACAGCTGTGACATTAACATTGATAGGGGATGTCTGCTTGAATATAACGTGTATACAACGTTTTCCAAAAAGGTTCTGAGTTCTATAGAATAGTCATTGCTATGGTGAATGTTGGCATAACATGGTTTTCCAAGTATCGGCATCAGTTTTATTCCTCTATATATCACTTATTTAACTGCTGGGACATTTATATAGAAGAACCAAACTGACCACCAAACTTCTACACAACTGGAATTGCAACTTCAGTATTCACAAGACAGTTTTGAAATGGTAGTACAAGCTCATTATGTTCACCTTTTTAAAAGTAGTATTAAAGTTGTGCAGGTAGCAATATAAGGGGACAGGTAACTGTAGAGCAAGAAAGAAGCAAAATCATGTATAAAAACATGAGGTATAGACAAGTGTCCTTTTGCTTCCTGTGAGCTCTATAGCTCTGAGAGTGTCTATATTGCAGTACAGACACAAAATCACACACTGAGTATTTTTACACAAGTCTGTCTTCATTCATTCATTCATTATTGAAACAGTGGCCAGCCAGTCAGTCCTCACATAGTATCTAAAGTAGTAGCCATCTGGAACTAAATATGTGAATAATCTTATTAGTTACTTTACCATAGCAGTCCATTATTCTTCCAAGCAATATGGCACTGACAGGTTGCAATCTGTGGTGTAGCCAAGGTAGATTACGATCAAGAACTTCTCTTTTTTCATTGTCTCTTCTTCAGAAAGTTTTATCGCCTTCATCGAGAAGTCTTTCATAAGACTTATCTTTCTAATGAGATGTATAGCAATTTTGCACCCTAGTGGCTGATTGACAGCTGTAAATAAGTGTATTTATGAAGACAAATGTGATGCTTTCCTTCTTGTCATTGGTCAATGATGATAATATCTTCAGGTGTGTCAAATAATAATTAAGAAGTTGGAAAGAGATTTTGATCAAATTGTTTACTTTTGATTTTTCCTCAGGACTACATCCCTACAAAACAGGACATGCTCCATTCAAGAAAAGCAACTAAGGGGATAGTTGAACATGAGTTCATTATCAAGGGAATCCCATTCAAAATGGTTGATGTTGGGGGCCAGAGATCTCAAAGAGCCAAATGGTTTCAGTGCTTTGATGAAGTCACATCTATCGTCTTCCTAGTCTCATCCAGTGCCTATGACCAAGTGTTAATGGAAGATAGGACAACGAATCGTCTAGTGGAGTCCTGTAATATATTTGAGACAATTGTCAACAACAAATTCTTTGCCAATGTGTCCATCATCCTGTTCCTTAATAAAACAGATCTTTTGACAGAAAAGGTCAAACATACCAACATCAAGGACTTTTTCCCTGCATTCCAAGGTAACCCTCATAAGCTGGAGGATGTGCAGAACTTTATATTACAAATGTTTGACAGCAAGAGAAGAGAGAGATCTAAAGCACTATTCCACCACTTCACCACCGCTGTAGACACGGAAAATATCAAGTTTGTGTTCCACGCTGTAAAAGATACAATCCTACAAGAGAATCTGAAGGCATTAATGTTGCAATAATTGTTACCCAAAGAGAAATGCTATTAGAAAAAAAATATCATCTATTTTCAAAGAAAGTGCATCAAACAATGGACATAGTACTAACATTAGTACATACTTGTACTGTACTGGTAAAATTACTGGGATACAAATGTGTCCCACAGGACTTAAATAAACTTCATCAATTTGGAATAGTGTACAAATGAATGTTTGGTGTCAGAAGAAAATGCCCTTCAAATTGCTGTGCCTTGTGGTGCTGCTGCTTCCTAACATCACCAAACTCGCTGCATTTGGTTACACGTTGCTGAAACCTTGTCAAGAATTTGACCAAATCAGCATCAAGATTGAAAAGACTCAAATGCCATAATCAGTTCAAGTCTTAGTTTGAATGCAGAACCAGTGACTGGAGTGAAGATTTTTTTTGGTACATGGACTGTATCTAATTCAAAGTTCATTGGTATGTGGGACTGCACTGGGAGTTTGATCAGACTTTTTAGGAGTTATCATCCTGCATTCAGTTAGGTTCTACACTAGGACAGTGAACTTTATTGTTATTATCTATGATTATTAAGATGGATGAAAGATACCCTTTATTTTGGGGCCTTTTGATTAAGAAAAAATGTAAACAAGCTGCCAATCAAACCTATTATTTAGAAAATTTCATGCCAAAATAGTTTGTGCAAATTTTATTAACGTCATAAATAATTCAATTACTCAAGTCTTGATTTTTTAGATATGGTAGACATTTACATTGCAATGTTCTAGAATGTTATCAGTCAATTTATATGTATATTTTCACAAACATTGAGGTCAAATGTTGAGTATGGCCCTGTAAATTTTGTTTTATCTGGCTTTTGACACCTGTCAACATTGTGTATAACATTTCTTTCTGTATGTCGAAGCTGTCATTCTGGGCCCGGTTGTACTAAGCCTGGATAGCACTATCGGATGGATAAATCTTATCCAGTGAATGAATTTATTGGATAACAGCATTAACTTATCCACTGGATAAGGATTTATCTGCCAGATAGTGCTATCCAGGCTTTGTACAACAAGGCCCAGATCAAATCATTTCTTGTGTAGATCCTCAAACATTGCATGCAACTATGAGCAAATTAGTTGTAGTGTGTCAAGAACACCTTATACTTTAAAGATAATGTCATAAGAGTGGAAAAAACTGCTATATATGTTGATGTATTGGAAAGAATGGGGGACCCAAAGATGCCCCCTGAGGTAATCCATTGAATCTCAAATTTTTGTTGACTCTTAGAAATATTAATTCTCACTAGTTGGAGACATTTTATTATAGGAAGTAAAATGTAATGTAGAACTAAAACTGTCATCTTAGTTTGTGTGAGCTTTAAAGCATTTGTCAAATGTGGTATTGTATAGATAAAGTATATTATCTTTTCTTATATTTTTTATGTCAGAAAAACCACTTGAGTTTTGAGTGGGCAAAATAAATGTATGTAGATGAACAGGGACTGATGATGTGGTTTGAGTTTTGAACTATAAACTAATTTGTATAATCTTGTGTTTTAATCCAAAACTTTCTTGAAAGTATTTAATAGCGCAGCGCACTGATTCTAAAAGTAGCTTAAAGATTCGGACAAATATGCATTCTGTTTAACCGCTACGAGGATTATACAAACCGATTTTATTAATATTTACTTAAAGTTACAATAATAACTCGTAAACTAAGATCATCTGCAATCGGCTATGAAAATTATCTGCTGAAAGTAAACTTGTAAGTTTGTTTGTCTGAATTTCGCCTTTGTCTTTGTTTTTATGACATCAAGGTTGCGCTGCGCTATTATACTTCCCTAAATACGGTCTTTAATTTTTGGGTCTATTTTACAGAAGATTTATATGTACAAAGATTTGCAAGGAAAAGTGTTGTGAATGACTTTTCATTTTTATATTCGCAAACTATAACTAGACTTGATAATGTTATAATAAAGGGGTAAACATTTTGAATAATACTAATGATTCAAAGTAAAATTTGAAAAAATATTTACAGTGAGAATTCACTAATGCAGAACTTAAAACCCATCAAAATATTACATCAACGAGCTAATAATATTTCGTCTTTAAAATATTGGGGTAGTATGTGTAAAACACATAAATCTTTAACATATTATTTGAAAACATTAAAATATAAAGTTAACAGGTTATGTATATATTATATGCAATAAAGCAGGTTGGGTAAGTTATTGTCAAGGTATACCTAATCTTCACCTCAGTTTGCTCCAATTATTATTGAAAAAAACTAAATCAAATTAAAATATTTATTTTTGATTCTTATAGACTGTATTATGAACTAAAAATTAAACACGGCTAGTTACATAATGAGAAAGAAGCAATAATAATTTGATTGTAATCACAAATAAAACCAAATCACCTATAGATTCATTTTCCTGTGTTTTGTCACCAACGAAATAATAATAATAAGTTGCTAATTGAGAAAGCTATTCTAATAATCCGACATATAATTTTTGGGAAGCTAATGCAGAACACTATAACCTATAAAAAGATGGAATATTAATGCCCTGGTTAAATTCATGCTTGGAAAATAATAATAACACACAGCTCGATAAAAACTACTCAAGATTACCACAAAGTTTGCTCTTCTATTTTCTTCATTGTCATAAATTTTGAAAATGAATAATTTTTGTTGACAAAGCTTCATTTTGCACTACAATATTATTTATCAAATCAACTAATTAAACTACAACCTAATAAATAAGCTATGTTAATTGATTATTTGACTATTTTACTTATTTAGCCAGAAGACTGTAGAGTGGAATTGCCTAGAAAGTCATGTTTATATTTCAGAAACTTTATTTTTACTTTGTTTTCTATAACATGAACTAAAAATGCATTAGATTTTATGAGAGTCAAAAATAAAGCTTTTGATGTGGATGGTACCTTGCTGTGAGTAACCATTAGTGAGCTGACTTGTATAAAAACATAAAAATATTAAATACTACAAGGTTATTCTTGAGTTAGAGCCTGGAAGCATACTCTACATGTACTGCCACCATAACTGACAGCCAAAAGCAACATACAGACATCCCAGGAAGTGATAATAAATAAGGAGTTAGTGGGTTAGGGCGTTCCGATAAGTAGGTTACAGTTGTTGGTTGGGTTTTGGGAGTATGAAATTAGACTGCTGCCTTATAATTAAAAATAGTACAAACATAGAACTTTTCAGAGATAGCCGATAGCATTTAATTTTGGGTATCCATAGGGGGGTCTGCATAACACTTAACATTAATTCCCATCTACACCCTCATTATGGTCTAGCTTAAGTACAAACATATTTTGTTCATCTTTCCATAAACTGTGTTATTTGTACCCAAGGTAGACCACAGTGCATCAGGTTTATGGAACCTCGGAAAAGGTCTAGGCCTATTGGAGTACTATTCTTTAGCTTTACTTTTTTTATTATTCCTTAATAAAACATCATCTCTAGGTCAAATGGGAAGAAAGTGATGTTGTTTGTTCCGTTTATGACAGTACAAGAAATAGTGTGGATTCTAGCTAGTGCTAGCCGACCCCCTTCCTCTCTACAGTACCTGTAAGTCTAGAACATATCCCCCTAACTAGAACAAACTAGGCAAAATTATTAATCTAAAAGATAAAAAAATTGTTAAACACATAACAGTTTAAGATTTAATTAAGCTGTCAATATTTTAATGACATGTTTAAAGATTGTATTGATTTTTAAAAATAAAACTTATATACATTATCATATACACGACTGCAGCTGAAACTCTATGAAGCCTAAGCCAACAATAGCTGAAGTAAAATAAATAAACCACGGACTTCTAAACAAAGGAATGAAACAGTATTTAATTTTAATTCTATTTTTTTATAAGCACTTAATTTTATAAAAGTAAATAAACTGACATAACAAACCAAATTAAGTTTGTTTTTGTGTCGTTTGAAGTTTTAATTCAATCATACTAGAGTATGATTACCATAACCCTTATATCTCAAGGTATCTCCAAGGTTTAATCAGGTTAAACAGGTATAATCAGGTTTAATTACCTCCTGGTTTAATCAAGTTTCTAAGAAAGGATTCCAGGTGTCTTAAAGGAGTATTTTAAGTAAAAAAAGTTATAATGAACTGAGAATCTTTTATGTTTTTTTTCAACAATAGTACTTTTCAGAGTTCTCTGCACCATCTTAAAAGGCAGCTGTGCTTTTGCATCAAAGCGAGATGAACGGTGAGCTTGGAATGATAGAAACCTTTGTATAACACCTTGGAAAATTATTCATGTCTCTATCATTGCAAGCTTGCCATTTGTCTCGCTTGGATGCAAAGGCATGGGTACCTTTCAAGATGGTGCAGGGGACTGCGAAAGGGACTATATATTGTACTCTTAAAAATGGATTTCCAATATCAGGAGTTTTCATCATTTACTAGTGAACTGGGGTCCCAAGGGATTTGAGGGGGTTTATTAAAAAATCAGGGTAAAGAGTGAAGGACCACACAAAATAATCTTGCACAGCCCTTTTGAACAGAATCAAAAACAAGGGAGGGGCAATTTTTATGCATCGATGAATAGGCGGTGAGAATTTTTTGTTCAGATTACTAAGTGAATCCCACCGTAACTCCTCCTCGATAAAACCGAATGGTTCCTTAAGAAGTTTAGCAAATGCCAATGTTCTTTCAGGGTGATTATAAGGATCAAATTTAACCTAGTGTGCACATTTACATGTATTTATGTCTTCCTACCTCAAGATAAAGACTGGTACTGAAGAATTCTTTAACTACTGTTGGTTTAAAAATTAACTCACTAACCTTAAACTTACTACTATCCTGGCACTGTGTACACTGTTTTTTCTTGCTAGTGGACTTGTATCAAGCTTTGAAGTTATCTTTTTCTTTTCTCAGTGCTCCCATGACATCAATTGGATCACTTTTTCCTGTGTATTTCTTGAGACTCTCTTCCCTGCCGAAGCAATTTAAACATTAATACTCATGAATAATTCATAAACCATGGGTCTGACTGGATCGACCATACTCATCACGTACATGTACATTTATACCTGATAAAGTCCTCTTCATTAGTATTCAAGTGATGACACGTCTTAAGTATATCTAAAGACTAATGATGATGACTATATCAAAGTTAAAGTTGCACTCAAGTTTAGATGAAGACTGAGAGCCTCATCAAGGTTGGTCTCGGTGCTCTAAATAATTCCATTTATTTTGTCAATAGAGATGAGATCATATAATGCATACATGGTCATCCACCCATCCACCCATCCCTCCCAGGGACGAATGCAGGACCATTTTAAAGCACAAATAACGAAGTAGATAACACCTTATCTAGAGGTGAGGGGTATAGGGGGTTGTACACCAAATGCACCCCTTCCTTAGATCTGTCCTTGAATCCGTTCTCCAATCCACCTGATGATTCCAGCTGATCACCGGAAACACGATGTTACAGTTGTGCACAATGTTCACGAACAATACTCGAACACGATAATGAACATCTCACGAAATGCGCATACGAAAAAATAAGCGTGCGGCACTTTCAAAAATGCGGGAAATGTTTTTCTCTGACAAAAAAATAAAAAATAACAGTTCTAATGATGACCTATGTTTCTAAAACTCAATCTCTCAAAGCAATGATTAACCTTTACCTACCTAACACGCATAAAAGGGTTGAATTTAAATTCCTGTCCGATCGTTGATGGAACGGTTGGTTTATTCTCCCGCCTCGCATACTGTAGACGACAAAAAAAGTTGGACAATTATAGCAAGAATGTTCGCGATGAATTCTTTTAGTTTCCTCTGCAAGAGATAGTCTGCCTCTACACTTTTCAATGTGTAATCTGCTTGGTATGAGGATACCGCTGCAAGGCAAGTAACATTGACACTTTTAACAGGGTCTGGAAGGGTATTCGAGGGAGTTGGGAAACGGATAAAATATAGCATGGGATCCGGGGAACTAGAATAAATCTTACGTGATTCGGGATATTTACATCCCGTGCTTTACGAGAACACATTGCACACGCGCGCACTTTTCGTTGCGTCATTCCTATCTTTAAAAAAGGTATTGTAATTTGTGTTTTATAAAAGAGAGAAAAAACTTGCTTGCTGTGCTGTGTGCAGTCATAAAGCACGCGGGGGTTGGCAGAACACTCGAGAAGTGTCCAGAAGCACTCTGCCAACCCCCGCGTGCTTTATGACTGCACACAGCACGCGCGCGCGTTTCCTATTTCTTCAATAAATAAAATAAATATTCAAACGCCTCTGAATATGTTGACTAATGTGGGCAAAATGTCGCGGGTAGCAGGATTTCGGGGAAAAAAAATAGAGCCTGTTTCGGGATCCGGACCCCTCTTGTTGAGACCCTGTGAAACTTGCATAACAAATGATGTTCCCTTTTACTCCGACGAAGGACTAGCGTCCGAAACGTCAGTAAGTTTTTTCATCTTTTCACGGTGTATAATTTACCTTTTCATCATAACTGTAACAAATGATGGGTAGTTTATTGACAGGAATGGAATTCAGTAGAGAATTGAAAATTATTCGCGTTGGGCTAGATTGGAGAGATTTTAGTACGACCGCGAGAGTCTCACGGCACGCACGTATATACAGCTATTTCAAAAAAGGTTGGTGAAGGTTTCGTTGCATGCTGCTTACTAAGCTTTACCGCCATTTGCATTGCTACGCGGCCACCACAGACAAAAATCGCAACATGCAACATGCCAACATGCAAGACCCTCACTAAACGTTTTTGAAATAGCTGTATGAACGAGTGCCGTGTCCGAGAATTTCGAATATTTGCTGATTTATCCAGCCTGCGCGCAACCGACTCCAGGATAAATATTTTTGGCGTATTGTGGCTGCTGCGCGTTGAAGAAGATCTTAGTCAAAACCCTCGCTTTTTCTAACTTGTTTTTCTTTTCTTTTCTTTTTACTTATGTGTGTGTGTTATCATTGTTCAAATTCGTTGCCATTTTTTCATCTATCCGTTCTTTCTTCCACATTTTCCCTAGCAGCTGCATTTTGATGATAAAGGAATAAAGTTTGATTGATCGTCAACCTATCCTGGCGTTAGGAATAACTGGACACGTCGATGTTCTTAGTGGAGTCAATCAGTCGTAAAAATAAAGGCTTATCACTACAAATTTCAGACAATCTAAAAAGAGATTGTTTTAATAAGGAATGCCTAACCGCTTCTCTCTAACAGGGAACACCTTTGAACGATAACATATAGAACTTTCTTTTGTTCCTCGCCTGAATAAGATAGCTTTTTCACCCCGACGAACAGTTCAAGTTGCGAATCGTCAGTAAATAGGAGTATTATTTCTGCTAAGCTATGTGCGTAATTTTATGCCATGGTTGTACTTAGCATTAATTCACCATTTTTACAGATAAGGAATAACTTAGTTTTGCAATCGTGAGGAAGATCACCCTTTAAGCGATGAACAGCTTCCATATGTGTCTTTTACAATTGCCCGCCAAAAAAATGAAGATCTATAATTCCCCGTCTTTCTAAGATATTTTTTTGACCTTTCGTTAATTTTTTCATCATGTTCGAATGCTTTAGCAGAATTGGAAACTATTGTTTTGTCCCCCAGATTGAGCTGCATAATCCAAAGTGCTGCAAGGGGTCTATCGGTAGGGCATCGGTAGGGCATCGGTAGGGCATCGGTAGGGCATCGGTAGGGCATCGGTAGGGCATCGGTAGGGCATCGGTAGGGCATCGGTAGGGCATCGCAGGGTAGGGTATTGGTAGGGCATCGGTAAGGTATCGGTAGGGTATCGCAGGGTAGGGTATCGGTAGGGTATCGCAGGGTAGGGTATCGGTAGGGCATCGGTAAGGTATCGGTAGGGTATCGCAGGGTAGGGTATCGGTAGATTGTCGGTAGGATGTTGGCAAGACGGTCGGTTTTACTCCTCCTTAACGTAATTGCCATCATTTTACCCCCCACTTCTCCCACACTACAAACTACCTTCCTATGCCCTTGGTCCTGTCCTCATTGCACACGAATAAAATACCACTTACTTGGGCCCATTCCAGTCTCTCCTTTACGTCAGGGTTGTCTGGCTCAACCGCTTGTGCAAATTTTAAATTCTGTTCGGTGTACTCATGACCACAATAAACGAGCTGAAACAAAAAGATCAGATTTAGCTTGTGTGGATTTCATGCAGTGCTGCAGGCGTAACTATCTAAATTCCACTTAAGTTGGGATGCACACAGAGCTAAAGCTACATGGGCGGGATTAGGATTAATTTATGATTAATGCAAACAGATTCCACAACATTATTTTATTTGAAACAACTATTCTTAAAACGCATAATATAACATATTCAATAAAGGTTTTTCAAATGAGACCTTTACTGCTGTAAAGATTTAAGTTGTCTGACCTTTTGCTGTCTACAACATCTTCAGACAGTAATAGTGTACGATTCTCTGACAATGCCATAGACTGCGAAAGCACAGACAATCTTAATTCTTCAAAACAGTAACCAGCTGATCTGAGAAAAAATGTTAGTCAATCACAATCGAAAATATTTGCACTTTTTTTTGTTAAAATTATTGATTTTGGGCCACCAAATGAAGAAAAAAACCTGGTTGCTTTTGGTAACGGCGAGGAAATAATTGAATTTTCTATTTTTATTGCAATAGATAAGCGGGCATGTTTTTGACTTTTTGCTAGTCAATTTTTGCAAGCTCCATGTCATCTCAGTTTTGCAGTGGCGTCCTTTCTACATCACTATTTCAGTTCAGCTGGAAAGGGTTTCCTGGAAAGGCCTTAATACGTTTGTATGATGTTGCTGAAGGACAAATTGATTGATAAAATATAACATACTGTTTCACAAGGAAGAGTACCCAAGACTTCAATCAGTGCTTTGTACATCTCAGGTGGTGTGCCTTCAAAAAATCTGCCACACCCACCACTAAACAAAGTGTCCCCTGAAGGAAAAGGCAGAAACATTAGCGGGTAAACATTCTAGTTATTGTTCATGCCCTCATTCTTTTCATCGGAGTATACATGCAACAGACTCATCATTCAAATGTGTAGCTTGTATTTAGTCCAGATGACCCCTCCTTCGACTGGCTTAAAGGGTCAAATAATGGCCAGTCAGTTGCTGGCCATGACGACTGGCCAAATTAGTTTTAGCTTGGTTATATCATTTGTAAATCAATAGGTAACTTGCATTATAGCATCATTTACTACCATTTCCAGAATCCCTTGCAAATTTTCCTATTGCCTATTGCCTATTGCTGATTGGAATGGCACAGTCTTAATGTGCCATACCTGGCTTAAATAATGGTCAGTCAAGTTACTGGCCATAATGACTGGTCAACTTAGTTTTAGCTTGGTCATATGTCCTGTAAATAATTTGACTCTAATTAGTGAATGTTTTTATTATTCCTAATAGTTCATCCATGGTCTGTATGATTATATAGTGGCCACAGAAAGCCATTCGGCATCACCAGCTCAGGATGCTACTGTATGAATTTTCTTTGTGAGAAAGGCTCCTATCACACATGGCCTGTATGATTATATAGTGACCACAGAAAGCCATTCGGCATTACCAACTCTGGCTGCTACTATGTGGATTGACTTTGTGAGAAAGGCTACCCATGAATGGGGATTGAATTAACATCATTTGTCACTCCATATCAAGCCGCCTGTGGCAAGGTTAAGGAGCACAGCACATTATAAAATGGCAACTGGTCTATATATATTAGTGTATAATTTACCTTTTCATCATTACTATATATATTAGTATATATTATTCTCTTACTGACTCTATACCTGTGAATACTGCACTAGGTTTATCTTCAACACCACTCACTAGGTAGCAGATATGACCACTTGTATGACATGGCGTAAACAAACACTTGACATGTAAAGTACCAACCTGGAGAATGGATAACAATATAACAATAAATTTTATATATATTTCATAAAATTATATTCTCATACACGAGAATGACTTTATTTACACCTATTTCAAAAAAAAAATGTTGTAATTGCCCAATAGGCAATAGTAAATAGACAATAGGCGAGAAGAGATAGGTTATTCCAAGATCCAAGAATAGCTGGAATGACTTGTGTTTTTGCTTCTCATTCTTGCCAAGAACATACATTAGTGTTGCGGCTGAATTTTTTAATGTCCGCTCTCAGCCACCGTAGATAGGTCATTCAAATAAGTCAAAGAACATTAAATGACAAAATGCTGGACGACAAAGTCGCTTGAGATGAAATGTCAAAATGTCTTGTGACAAAATAACAAGAGGAAATTGATCAAAAAGACAAACCCACTTTGTAATATGGCCCTAAATCACTTTGACTTTTGAACTTTTGACATTTTTGACTTTGAATTTTTTTATGTCCGCTCTCGGCCACCGTACCTATCAGCTATTGCCTTTGGTGATGACAATGTTTATTGAAACAGGTGTATACACAAGATATCGATGAGCAAATAAAAACTTGTTACAAATACCTAGGTCTAGGTACGTCTCAATAGACATGGCTAATGAGATGTACCTATTGCAAAACCAACTTGACATATTGAAATTGATATTTTTTATAACGTGCAACCACTGCTGACATTCCCCTAAGTAAGTTAGCTAAGAGTACGAACAGGATTGATGGTAAGTGGTACTGGTTCTGATATGTACTTGGCATAGTCTCTAAATATGTCTCGGCTCATGGTCAATGGAAATAAAATTTGATCGATTTCGAAACATGTTACAATAAGGGCTCAATAGTAACAAACACTACAATGAGTGTGAACCATCCAAAATCACTTAAAGCACAGACACACAATGCATCTTTTTCATGCAGCATTGTATGCAATGTGATGTTGCAAAAACAAGATTGCACTGTGCGCACAGGTGAGATTTGTTGCACCATTGCAAAGGTGGTCACATGGTGTGATCTCGAACTTTTTGGGACATTGCATAAAAAAATGGTGAGTCCTCACCTTTAAGGTAACTTTTTCAACCTACATACATCATAAAATACCTTTACTAGGGTCAGATTGATTTCTAGATTTGTTATTAATAGGATTAGAGTACTGGTAGGATACACACCTTAAACTCATCTCCATGTGATACTTTCTTGTTCAAAGCACCAATCCTATCATCACCTCCACAGACTGTTAGCCCACTGACCAATGAAACTAGCTCTTCATTGCCACCTGCGTGATCCCTTGAACAGAGATTAAACTATGATCATAACCAAGATAATAGTTGTTAACACCCATCAAAATATGGCGACAAATTTGAATAACATAACTATTGTTCTCGACTGACTATTCTCATGTTCATGCAAAGTATACACAGTAAAAGCATTTTCACATGTATGAGAGGCTAGTAGTCAAGAACAATGGTTATTCAAATTGGCCATCATATTTTGATCCAGTGTATACTGCGCATTCTCTAAAAATATCATGAAACATGATGAATTTTTTACTTTGATAAGCAGAGAGTGCTTGCCCAATTCTCCCAAGCCAGGGGCTCATGTATAAAGTATATAAATGTTCATCCTTCAACCCCTTCGATTATCAGTGCTTTTTAATTACAGGTACTTAACTAGAGCTACATAAACAATAAGAAAAGTTGAAGAAGACATGGAGATCGTGAGGATTGAACCGTGGACCTCTAGCTCTGAAGACCATGCACACCATCCAAGAACTGAGCTATGCCTGCTCATAAAATAAGGAAGACTAATGAAGACTGGCAGTAGGCAGTCCAACTTCCATAATAAACATATCCTGTGTATTGTGAATTTATCTATTAAGAAAGTCAACTTGATAGATAGAAAACAACATAATGAACCATGAATTGTTAAAAAAAAGCCAAGTTTACGAACTGAGGGAAAAAAAGATAAACTGGTTTCGATATGGAAGTCCTGACGGAATAAAATGAGAGCTGGGATTCATATGTTCAACTCATTTGGGCTGGAAAAATGGGAAGAGGGCTACCTGAAACTGGGAAAGAGATTTCACCTTCAGGGCCTTCATGACAGCCAGGTTCAAATTATAATAAATTCTATACACATATGTGCATTCTAAAAAAAATATTTTACATTGATATTTGCATACTATAAATTAATATATTATTATCATTGTACCAGTGGTGGTGTGTCGTCAAAACTGTCGTCAATGTAACCTCTTCCTCATTTACAGCAGACACCACCTGTATGTGGATAAATAAAAAAAATAAGTCATTTATTTAATTGGTCGTCTAGTCAGGGCTGGAAAATATAGAGTCAGAGTGGCACTTTTTACTCTGAAAACCTTGAACAATTTTCATGTTAGATGTGAAGTTTTCAAGCAGCCATGTTTGTTTTCACAAGTGCATAGGTTTTTCAGACTTACTGGTATACACTGTATATAGAGCAGTTTTCGTATGACTGTGAAAAGTTCAGTGCCGTAACCGTCATGTTTTCTAGAATATTAATTGGCTGATTTTTTTCTCACGCAATGTGATTGGCCTGTCAGTAATGTGACCTTGGTGTGACTGTGTCTTTGCTGTGTTCCGGGTATTTGATTGGATGGAGAGTAAATTCTCGAGCAATGTGATTGGTCTGACGTATCCCTTGTTGTGGTACGACCGTGTGCGTGCTGTGCGCTTTTCACAGTCATACGAAAACTGCTCTATGCCTTTCATGGGGCAAGGTCACGTCTGTGCTAAGAAGATCTATCCCAATTGGTTGGATACAATAGAAAGATAAACAATATAAACAAAACAATAGAACGAGTTGGCATAATGAAAACTATTGTTTATTTTGGCCAATCTCGACAGCTCTACGTACTTAGTAGGTGTGACATTAGTGTTTTCATCACCTCAAACCCCCAACACAGACAACCCATGCAGTTGAAAAACACTCCTGACCAAGGTAATAAACCTCAGGATAAAGTACCTTTTTAGGCTCTACTGGATCTACAATAGCTGCTTCTTTGGTGTTCTCATCAATCAAGAGATACATGTAATTATCTGACAGGGCGGGAAGGAGTCTCACTCTCATGTCGTCTTGTGATATCACGATTTGTTGAGAGTGGCTTTTGAATGCAGACGAAATTGTCAGTTGTCTTGTGAAATGCTTGGTTATTGGTCCTGAATAAAATAATAAGACATTATTAATGTAATAAGTATTTATATCTATCAATTGTGCACAATGAACCAAAACAAACTCTAAGCTCAGTTAGTATCAGTAATGGTTATAGTAAAAGCAATAGCAGCAGTGAATATATTTAATTGTCAATAAGAGGACCGACACATACAAAACTGAAGTCAATTTGTTAAATTTATAGTAATGGCAATCGCATTGACAATGACAATGAAAATGACAATAGCACTAGCACTAGCACTAGCACTAGCACTAGCACTAGCACTATTAATAATAATAGTATTTCTTTATATGCATACGGGTTACATGCAATTAATTGAAAATGCAATTTGGCTGTCTCACATTCAGGTGGTATCTTTCCAAAAAAAACATGAAACAGAACGTTTTCTTTTTGCTCCTTACCTTTTCCTTGGAAAAAAGAATCTGCAGTTAGATGATTTCCCTTGCAAAAAACAAAACGACAGACAGAAAACTTGAGAAAATTCTTGCAACCTCGAAGCCACATTGGGAAAATTAAGGAAAAATTTGAATTCTGAAGTCCGAGGAGGATTAAAACTAGTAGATCCAGGCCACTCCACTCTCGCGCGCAACGCCTTGTGGATATTGACATATTGTTTTTCATCTCTTGAAAAAGTATTCCAAAAATTTCGTCTTACGGTCGTCATCTCAAAAAGTTCTGCCTTTAGGTTAAAGGCAATCGAAACAGGAGAGAATTTTGATGATGGGAATCGACTTGGAGAACTTTGATGACAATGTTCCAGCAGAATTTCTGTGTCCTTGTTGTCGGAAAGTGGTTTACTATCCCTTAGTAACCGATTGTTTCCATGTGATGTGTGAAAAATGCTTCAACAAACGAGCAAAAAGACGGCTGAAATGTCCTGCTTGTGGTGGTTCGATGGGAGAAGGAAACAACAAGCTTGATTCGTCGTGGAGAAGAAGATACGAAAGGCTAAAAGTTAACTGTATTAAGGGATGCGAAATGGAAATGTCGTTGGGGGAATTGGAGAGACACTTGGATGAAGAATGCCCTCTTGCTTTCGCACTATGTTCAAACAGTGGATGTTCTAAGAAAATACGAAGGAAAAATCTATCTGGGCATCACAAGGAGTGTGATTATAGGATAGTAATGTGTGAAAATTGTGGTTTTCAAACCCGATTTGTTAATCTAAGGACACATCAAATTGTTAGAAGATGTGCCCTACGCAAAAGCCTTCACATGATCGTCCAAAGCAGACGAGTAATGGATGCACAGGTTAAAGAACACAAGCGTCAAGTGGATGAAGATAGTTTTAGGAGAACTCTAAATGAAAGAGACATGGAAAAGACTAAATTGTGGACTGCAATATATCGTAACAATCCAAATAGAATGTTGTCTCGCAGTCCCAGTCCAAGTAGATGTGCCAGTGCTGTGGAGATGGCTGATGGACATGGCTCTCCAGATGGGTACAGGTCAGGCAAGGGTGGGTCAGTTACTCCAAGGAGCACACGATCATATCCTGACTGTGTGTCATTGTGCATGAATTGTAAGAAACTATTCTTGGAGGACAACAATCATGATTTAGCATGCCAGTGGCATGAAGGGGTAGGTATTAGATATTATTATCATATCCCAGGGCTTAGAATAACGGCTGGTCATCGGACGATATCTTTGCCAGAATTGAAACTTCTCCTGCAATTCACTACATAGTATTTAAAGCCCTGTATCATATATTGCTATGGTGTCTGGCTATTCTTGTTGTGTGTGCAGACTAGACAATTCATTTAATATGTCTAGTTAATTCAAAAAATGGTTTCGTCAACCAGCTCAATCCCACATGACTGGACTGAAAGGGAATTTGGATAAAAATCATTTAAATCAAAATATTCTTTGTGAATTGTTACCACTATTGATAAAATAATAATTATCTCTAATCTGTATTTTTTTTTCATGTCATTATTGGATATGCTATTATTAATAAAGCCGGTAAGTCTCAGTGTTTTGATCTCCAAAACTAGCTAATATCATGAAACCAATATCTAATTCATATCCATTAGCTACATCATACTCAAACAAGCAAAGTGACATTTTCTTTTTTTTTTTCTTTCATGCCTGTGCCGATAAGATCATAGATGTGGTAAGTAAATTACCAAGATAAAAATATTTTTGGTAGTGTAAATCAATGATATTGTCGGCTGTTCAATTACCATTCTATAAATTATTCAATAGACTCCTCGCACTAAATCTCTACCTGTCAAAACACTTGAACATATTAACATCAAAAAATATTTCAATCCTCAAGAAGGGAATTCTTTTGTTTTGACCCCCAGATTAAGAATTAGTGCGAGGGGTCTATATGATTCTGCAATAAATGATGTTTTATGAAATTGGTTAAATGATTTAAAATATTGGCCATTTGTTGTTACATTGTTGTCCTAAAACAATATGCATGGGTAGATTGTTTACTATAGATAATCATACTTTAAACGGCAGATCATTAAACTAATCTTGCGTTTTTGCTTTCTTTCATGTTCCACAACTTAACATCGATAGTTTGTAAGTATATTGAGTATATTCTTTCATATTTCCGATATTTGACTCAGTCACAACTTCTACTTTAAATATCAATCTGATATCTAGCATACAGCCAACTAACAAATGTATTTTTGTTTCTTTTTTCTTTTGCAAATCTCTGGTTTACCTTGAACACCACTAGGGGGTGAGTTATGAAAAATAAACAAGTTTGTATGTTGAGTGTCAGTGTCAGAGCTTCTGGAACCTAGGGTTCAAATTGTTATTTTATGATTATCAGACAAGCTTTGTGATAAAGCTTGGTTCTCACTAGTGTTGAAGCATAAGCCACACAAAAAATGTTTTCTATTCTCTTGTACTTATTAGGCCAAACAAATAAGTGTGTTTCCTGTTGCGGGACCAACCCTAATTTTCTTGCCAAATTTTGCCGATCCTAATATTTTTTTCATTCCCAAATGTACCACAGGGTTCTCAGTAAGCTCATTTCCACTGTTGTATCAGTAAAAAAAAAAGAAAAAAATCTGACCTACCGACCCCAATTATTTTTCTCATGCAACAGGAAAAACACTTACTTTTTTGTTTCGCCTTATATAAATGTGAGCATTTTGTTAACATGTGTCTTCTCTCTTTTCTTTATTTTCTTATGCTTTGCTGTACTGCCTAATATATACAGGGGGTGAGTAACTACTTAAGTATTCAATGTTGTAATCATTCACAATTTAAGTGGGCATTATTGTATATGACCAGTTGTCCAGGTTCTGCAGGCATCTCAAATAGCAAGGCATCAAGGGTCACCCACAGGGCAAAACAAATCAAAGATGCTGAATGACAACCCTACGATCTTTGAGAAATAGTCCCCTTCACAGTTCCCTGCACCATCTTGAAAGGTAGCCATGCCTTTGCATCGAAGCGAGAGGAACGGTGAGCTTGCAATGATAGAGACCCGTGAATAATTGTACAAGGTGTTAAAAAAGGTCTCTATCAGTGCAAGCTCACCATTCATCTTGCGTCGATGCAAAGGCATGGCTACCTTTCAAGATGGTGCAGGGAACTGTGAAGGGGACTATTGGCTCAGTTGTAGAACCATCCATTTATTTTAATTGATCTCTTGTCAAATTGTCTTGTTACGAACCATAAATGTCAATTGATTCCATTATTGTGACAAAAGTTAGAATGACACATAACCCCTTGTGACTCAAGATGGCCACCACATTGTTGAAGAAGTCCACTGAAATAAATGCTGGTGATTCTAAAAAATGTGCATTTTTCTTTTTTTATGACCTTCATTTCCTGGTTGACTTGACTTCTCATGGTTATAACATAAGATGGTAAGTAAATTAGACTAATTACCTTGGACGTAATGTTTTCCCATTTCAGATCACGCCATTCTCTTGAGAATTAGGTTATTTGAATTGTATTCATATCATTTTGTCTTGCATGAATGTTTAACAAAGAAATGATACAGCTGTAGGGAATGACACGTGGTCTGAAATGGGAAAACATTATGCCTAACCAAGGGCTTTCGCCCGGAATAACCTCGTTACCAAGCACTATAACTTATCTATATTGCTATATCTTCATGTATTTCATAAGTGCTACACGTCCACATATTCTCACTTTGCATCATAATTACTGCGACCTAACATCTATTTCACCCCAGCCTGCTCTCAGTCTGACCTCTAGCTCAGCTGGTAGAGCATCGGTAGTACAATTCCGAAGGTCGTGGGTTCGATTCCCAGCGAGGTCGGAAATTAATTTTTCTGAATTTAATTCCAAGGGCTTTCGCCTCATTCCCAAGCACTATAACTTATCTATATTTCTATATCTTTATGCCTAACCAGGTGATCTCGCCTCGATGAGCGCAAAGATTATTTGTCAAATCGAACAGTCCTTAATACCCAGTCACCTATTTCATAATATCTCACAGTAATCAAAATGGCAGCTGGTGACAACACCAATATTGCTTACTTTTATTGCATTTATGCTTTGTTTTAATTAATTTTAATTTCTGATAGGGCAAGAGGAAGCTTTCATGGTGCATGTAACATAGAATTTTTCAATTTAAAGTTATGTTTCAGGTCGTATTTTAAAAAGTTAACTCAAAATACGACTCCATTTCAAATTCATCATGGAACTTTTGGCGATGCAACAAAATGCTTCTGAATATTAGTTAATAGTAACCAGAAGTGAGTGCGCGAGATCACCTGATGCTAAAGATGTATATTCATCAAGCTTTTATCCTTGAAAGTATTTGAAACTTACTTTTAAAACATATCTTTTTAGTGTCAATCCTGTGGGAAGCTTGACAATCTGGAAGGCTGTGTCAGAGGTTACCATGTGGCAGTTGCACAGCAAACACAAAGCAGAAGTCCAAGACAGTCACCAAGTGAAACATTTTTAACGACAACTTAGAATCTTCAAATTCATTCAGCTATGAAGTTTAAATTTGATTGAAAAATGCCAATGTTATTTTTTTCTAGTCAGAGTAAATCTCAAAAGCGTCATTCCTAGACAAAATGTTAATTTAATATCCCTATTTTACTATATTATACATGAAAACTTAAAAGCTAATCTTTAAATATAAGCACCACTCAAAAGGAGTGGAGTAGAAATGTGTTTTTTTGAAAGTTTTTTTTGTAGCTATCTGTAAATCATCCTTGTAAAGTTATTTGGAATCAAAATGATGGAGATTTCTTATTTGTTCAGTCAACTGAGGACTAACTAACCTAATTCTGATGTTTTTTACATTTTAAATTATCATTATTTTATAGAATTTAACATTTTTAGATCAAACTTTCAAATTTTGTTAATATCATTCTAATCCATTACCTTAAAGTAATGCTTAATTAAAATATGAGTTTGAAACAGTGGCAGCCATCATTGCGTTTGGGGTATATTTTATGCTGTCCTTTAAAAGTTTATCATTAAAAACAACTAAACGGTTTATGATATCTATATAAATGCCGATTATTATTTATCTTCAATGATTTCTAATCTCTGCTCTAAAATGTTTGAGTGCCCTTCAAACTTAAAGTAACCATCAAATCTCTTGTTCTGAAGGAGAGAAGGAAGCCACAAGATGTCGTCGGGCCACATATCCTTGTATGGCACTTCATCATGGTTGAACCATTGAGGTCTCATTTCTGGAATTACCAGAAAAGATTTTAGGAAAATAGTGGCAAATGAATCTAATCTTATCTACACAAGAAAGAATTCCCTACATCCCTTATGTGTTCACATTGTTAAATGCTTGTTAAATCCCAGTCTTGATGTAATAATGCCGCCGCTGGGGTGCAGTGGTTTCAATAATTGACGAGTCGGGCCCGTTGCTAGGACCTCGAAAAGAGAGGTTCGTTTTTCTACCAATCTTAGCTATGCCATTTCTTGATAAACATTTTGTGTTATTGGATCTTATTGCATTTTTTTTTTTGTATAGGGGAAGAGGGGGTTCATTTGAACCATTGAACTACCCCTAGCAATGGGCCTGCTAGTGCATAATTCCAGAGAAGTCAATTTTGTATCCCTATGGGAACCAAGAGTAACATACCTTCAGTTTCTGTTGGTTCTCCTTCAAACTGCTCTACTCTAAACACATGAACCTCAAGTATTACTGGATCACCAACAAATTCGAACTTAAGCATTCCTGCTTCAATAAGGCTTTTAGCTTTTATGCAACATTCTTCTAAGAGCTCTCTGAAATGGCATAATATAGATCGGCAATGTTACTAATAAAGGCATGAGGCATGTACATGCATGGTTAGGATCAGAAAACTGATTGCAGTTCAAACTAAAAGCAGCATATTCTTCTAACAGCTCTCTGAAATGGTATAATTTAGATCGGCAATGTTACCAATAAAGGAAGAACTGGCCATGAGGCATGTACATGCATGGTTAGGAATAGAAAACTGATTGCAGTTCACACTAAAAACAACATAGCTATAAAAAAAACCTTGCTTTAATTTCCAGAGCAGCTCAATTTGGAGGACAAAACAATGGATCTTAATTCTCATGAGAGTAAAATCCTATTGTTTTGTTCTCTAATTTGAGTTGCCTCCAGAAAAGTGATACAAGAGGTCTATTTAAAATTTATAATTACCTAAGATAGATGTATCAATATTTTTGCACAAAAGTACAAAACATCCCAATTTTGGCCCTGAGGGTAGTAGGGGTGGATAACAAAGGTTTTTGTTTTGTTTTTTCTTCAATAAATCCTAATTGAATTCTTGCACCCAGACACTTCTTAAAAATTGAATTTTTGCTAGGAAAACGAAGGGTGATCATAGAGTGGCAGCACAGCTCCCCCCTTGAAAGCCCTCCCCCCCCCCCCCCAAAAAGAAGAAAGAAAGAAAGAAAACCTCTGTGACCAGCTAGAATAAGGGATGGTATATGGAGGATGTTGAAGACTGAACATACCTAGGTAATAGCTCACAAGCAGCCCATAAAGGCTTTGCACCATCACGTGGTGGCAGCCATGACAGGAGGCAGCAGAGTCTTTTCCCCTAGGAAACTGAATTCTTTCTCATGTAAATCAGATTAGACCAGAATCAATTATTCCTGCCCCCTGTCATGGCTGCCATCACGTGATGGTACAAAGCCTCTATAAGGGGTCGCTTATGAGGGAATGTATGGGAGCTAGTGGTGAGATGAAGATCTAGAAAATACATTTCAATAAACAATTTGTCGTAAAACTTGCTGCAGTCTCCTTAGGTAAAAGCTACTTCTTGACCAAGTCGGTTTAATGTACTCTATATTTTATTCATACTCCACGATTCTATTTTTGATCTTTTACAACTTTCATTCAAAGAAAAGAAAATGGAGAAGACCAACTTCATGTTTACCTTTTAGCAGCTTCTACGATAGTTTCATTTGGTTCAACTTTCCCGCCAAATCCATTCCACCGACCCACACCAAAACCACGTTTCTTCATCCCAAGTAGAATTTGTTTGGAATTATGGACAAGTACGAGCGTGAGAAGCTTATTCTTAGCCATGATACTCGATAGAAAAAGCAAGAATTCCGAAACATAAAAATTCTACCTTAAATTTCGTATCGAAAACAAAGCGTTTCCCGGTTCTGTTGTACGCGCACGTGAGAATACCAACAGGAATCCCAAAGGTATCTTCTAGCACACTGCCCCCAGACGATGACGATGATGATGATAATGGCAGAATTATATTTGTTTTTGATGGAATACAGGTTTTTTTAAATACACATGAGCATTGATGCATTATACCTATTTAAATACCCCCCAAGCCTTTTTCTATTTCCTAAAACGATGGATTATCATGTGTGAGAATAAACCCATCCGGAACCGGAAGTGAATGTGTGGTTCTTGTCAGCGGTTCTAGGTCGTGAGATATGCGCAATGTCATAAAATGCCTCGTAGATGTTTTCACTTCCTGTGTTTGCATTTTATATTTTTGTTGTTGTTTTGTTTTCTATTTATTGATCTCCAATTTTGTAATGGAAGTACTTTCTCACTCAAGTAGAGAATTTCAAATTGATCTCTACATCTTGCTCATTTATCAAAAATAATCATCGTCGTTTATAGTAAAAAGGCAGGCAACCAAAAAGTGAACTTGTTTCGTGAAGGAAAAGAAATGGAAGCTCCACATCTTTGGTTGATCGATCGAGATGGCCGTTCCTTCATCGTTAATCTGCGCGATAACTCATGGAAAGAAGTATCGACTCCTGAGCTCAAATCAAGGAACTGTTTTAAGAGAATATCTGCTGTTAGTAGCTGTGCCTGGGCAATCAATGCAAACCAGCAACCTTGCTTATACGTTCATGCTACTCAGGTGCCAATCAGGGCTCGAGTGGAAACGTGGGAAAATCAGAGATGGGGATTAATGAATGGGTGGTCAGTAAAGTCGGTAAGGAAGTTCAAATAAAGATTCAGTAGAGATTCGGACTTTTTAAGCAGCAATTTCCCATTTCAGATCATTTGTCATATCTAGCTCCTTCAGCGCTATTTCTTTCTTTACTGACAAAGACAGACAAAGGTGGATATGATTCCAAATAATTCTTGTTCACAAGAAGTGTGAAATGGGAAAGCATAAAATGAAAATGAAATTATGTTCTATAGTTAAAATCTGTGGTGTATCAGCTGATCAGCTGAGGAGACTTGTAACTAGTGTAGGCTTTTCTCGGGAATAAAGTTAGTCTGGCTGTGGGCCTTGAGTGGAGCAAAGCCGTCTCTGTTTATTGTGTACTTTTATGCATTATTTTACAAAATCTTTCATACTTCCTTATTTTTCTGCTCACTTATGACAATGACTAATGACTTAACCTATAGCTATATATGTGCTAGCTATGTATTCAATCATTATTTGTCAAAATGTCAACAGTTATAATATATTAATATAATTTCTCATGCCTTCTACTCCCTCCCCCAAAATAGCTGTCACGATTTGAAGATCCACCAACCCACCAAACACATACCATTTTAATTGTATCATTAATTCTAAAAAAATGTTTGTTTGTTTGTCTAGATGTTCCGTAGTGATCGATATCATTTTAGCAGTAAAGATGGCAAACAAGATCTTCCTCAATCAGGATTCATGTTGCCATCAATGTACTGGACATGGGAGAGTGATTGGTACATCAACAGAAAGGTTCCTGGTGACATTGAGGTACAGTATGAAGGAATTGCAACATGGATGTTTTAATCTGGGTCTTCTTGCCAAAGCCAAGCCCAAAAGCTCAAAATAAATATATAAAAACAAGGTTGTTGACATGTATTTACTACATAATATTGATCCAACCTACAAAAATATGCTAGATTAAAGTGTCTAACACCCTTCTGACAATATTCACAGTATTGATTCTACATGGGGTATCATGTGGAATAACCCCAAAAAAAAGTATAGTTTGAGTGCCGCTTCTTGGAGTTATAAAGGTTTTTCTATGTCATATGCTAATGCTGTGACGTATGAGGAGTAATCATTCAATATACAAAACATTACTGGCACACATAAATAAAATTTGAAATACGTCATTTTTTTCCCATTGCTCTTATAGAAATTATTGCAAGTTAGTTTTCACATAGAAGCCAGTGTTTTGAATTACAAGGAACAACAAATAACCATAAATGCCTCCTCATATGTTACAGCATTAGCATAAGTCATAGAAAAACTTTTAACTTCAAGAAGTCACACTCAAACTATAATTTTTTTTCTGGGCTATTTAATATTTTACCCTATGTGGAATCAATACTGTAAATATTATCAGAAGGGTAATAGGTGCTTTAAAGGGAAACTTAGGTTGCATGCGCGGCTATGGCACTGTCTCTCACCTCTGTGTAGTTCATGCTTGGGGTTGCTTGGTTTGATTCTTGGGCTGAGCATCATATATGATATCAGTTAAGTTTGTTGGATGTACATCTTTGATGGGATTGATTTTTTTATGCAGATTTTGCAGTCTTCAGAAAAGAATCTTTCTCAATGTTTTAATGTGCAGTACTCTAGCACTTTTCATGTTTGTGTGAACATGACAAGTCCAGAATAGGCAGGTTTTCAATTTATCAAACTTCCAGAGCCCTTGATTCCTAGATGAAGTGGCTCTAAAACAATATTGAAGCTTAAAAGATCAAGGATCCTATTCTACTAGTATAGCAGTAATAAATTATGCGTTCACTGTGAGTAATGAAATAGAGAATAAGAGAAAAATATCGAATGCCCTTGGCGGGAATCGAACCCACGTCTTTGGTATTCTAGTCCGATGTGTGTACCACTACACCACAAGGACCAACCACGCTGGTAACGCAGCCGGAATATGAAATGTATATGAATGCGATATTTTTTCTCTATAGGTAAGTTGGTTATCTATTCTACTATTAATTTAGTCCATCCTGTTAATTTCAATTTCTTTTGTCTAAGGGATGGCAATATGCCATTGACTTCCCCCGTACTTATTATGCAGAGAAGGGTCAGTTATCCTGTGTGAGGAGAAGATGCTGGTCAAGATATTACAAATTTGATGGATATGATCGATGGTTGTTGGTAAGGAGTGCAGAACTTAAATACTAGATTATAGCTTTTACAGGTGGTTATTACAGACAATCTGTACCCTCTTTTCATTTATCTGCCTTAGTATATATACTATAAATAACTGCGTTTATACTATTTAGATTTATTAAATTATCTATATTGTATACATAAAAACAAATGTTGTAAATCCTATAAGAGTTGTACAAATAAAGTTGTTGTTGTTGTTGTTGTCAAAATTCTAGGTCAAATCGAAATTTTAAGCCTCTCATACTGGTGGAAACACTTTTATGTTTCCATGCGAACACAAGGCTAGTCAGTCGCTAGACAGTGCAGAACAATAACTATTTGAATTGGTTGCCATATTTTGATTCAATCGGTGTATATCCATTAGATAGATTCTTATCAAGTGGATAAACTTGGACTTGGATGACAGCATCATTACAGTATGTCCACTGTATAAGGATTTATTCCATGGGTAGCGCTATCCACTCTTTGTACAACCGGGCCTAGGTAGCTGTTAGGGGACCTGAAAAAAGTTTTCTTTTCTCATGCTCTTTATGTCCAATGTGGAGTTTTATATTGCTTGCTTTAATTTTCCAAGGATTACATCTTCTCACCTTAGTTAAACATCTTAAGATGCTTCATTATCACATGAATTGTTTTGCAATATAGATTGAAGGTCTAAGTGATGACCCTGTCAAACAACCTTTCCAAGACATTGCCATTGGTGGTACAATGATTCCTGGACAAAAACCTGGCCACCTGTCCGTGTGGGCGGTCACCTTTCATGGTCAGGTAATGCCATAGGAAAGCACTCTTATTAATCTATGGACCTTACTTGTGTGACAGTCATGTTTATTGAATTAGAATAAAAACCTTTGTGTAAGCCACATAAATTATTTTATTCTTAAGCTCTTGAATGTGACGCTACATGTAGGAAAATCTATTGTTCAAGTCAACACGTTTGCTGCATGAGCAAGGCTCATTAACATGCTTCTTATTAGAAAAAAAAGAGTATTGAAACATTACCTTCAGTGGTTTCTCATGCGTCTTAACACCCTTCTTAACAGGTCATTTTTCGGGCTGGAATCACAGACAAGAACCCAGAGGGTGAAAAATGGGTGGATGTGCCACCACCCGGTGTTACGATTACTCAGATATCAGTCAGTAGAACGGGGGTGCTGTGGGGAGTGTCTTGGGAGGGCATAGCTGTTGTTCGCATTGGTGTGACCTACTATCAACCTACAGGTATAACCTATAGATCTATTGTTAATTTTTGGATTAGTACCATGATAAACTGATAATTCAATAAATCTCATAATGAATCATTATTGTTTTACTCTCAATCATACGCGCCCCCTAGCACCCTCTAGTGCTGTCTAGTGCCCTCTAGTTTCTGTTGCAACAAAGTAGGTTTTGGTGGATGTCAATCAAGGCACTTCCATGACATTCCATAGGCATGTGCCCTCATAGCTTTGTGTTTCCCGACAATGTTATGGAAACCCCATGTGATTGACGTCCACCAAAACCTTCTTCGTTATGACAGGAAAAAATTGTTAGAGTGTGCGTGTGATTGAGAATGGCTGTAACTAGTTAAACGTTTTAATCGTTGGGAAGCATGGGTTGCGTAGTGAGAGTGCTCGAGCCTCTCACGAATGAAACCCAGGTTTAATCTACAGAATCCGCATTATATCTGAGTAAAGTTGGTTGTTAGTTCTCTCTAACTTTTGATTCAAGGTTTTTTTTTCAGGTTCCCCTATATTCAGTCTAATGTTCAATTAGATTTCAGTGGATGAGAGGCTGCTCTGTAGTCTCTGAGTTGCCGCTGCTTAATCTAATTTTTTATTTTTTATCTATTTATTCTGATAGGGACACAATGGGTAGAAGTAAACCCACCTTCCTTATCACCAAACAATGAGATCTGTCAGTTGCTACAAGTTTCTGTTGGAGTAAATGGTGTTTGGGCATTAACAAAAGATGAGCAGGTTAGTGGTGTCATTACTAAAGTTAACAAGACACTAGAGAAGTGTTAAGAAGCACTCTGCTACGTGTCGCGTTTCTCCTAACACTTCTCTCATGTTCTACCAACCCCTGCATGCTCTTATAACTGTACAAAGCACGCATGCGCGTGTTCTATTTCTTTAACAATTGGAGCTAAAATTTAATGCAATTAACTCATAGGTTTGGTTTAGAAAAGGAGTAAACACTAGTCAAGTGAATGCAAGTATAAAAGAAGTTACTGGAACAAGTTGGATTCAGATGGTTGGTCGGTTCCTTCTGCTGTCTGTTGGTCCAAATGATCAAGTAATGATATAATAGAGCTTTTGAGTGTGACGCCACTCGTATAAAAAAACGACTTCCTGGTCCAAAACGAAAATCTGTTGCTTATAAGCATATTGCTATAAAGATTTTTCTTACTTTTTCTTCACAGTAGGATCTATTGTGCAAAGTTCTAATTGTTTCAGGTGAAGGTTAAACCTTGGGGAAAATTTTCGCTTATTTTAGCGGTTTTTGTGAGCAGTTAGACCCTAAAATACGTCACAAATTAACAGCTTTATAGAGCCATTTCTGTTGTTGTATTGATATAATTATTGACCTTCCAAATGTAAGTCGGTGATCGTATGAGATTTGAGCTGGGATAGGAACTCTTCCATACGCCTGTCTTCCCTTCTGTTCACTACTCTTCTTCTCCAAAACAAAACTATAGAGGCGACAATGCAGGCAGCATGGCAACTTTCATAGTCCATTATCAAACGTTGAACCAATGTTTATATAAACACTTGCTTCTCCAGGATGTCCTGGCATCAATATTGATATCTTGATAAAGTAAAGTACTCCATGTGTTGTTATATATTACAGGTGTTTGGGTTGAGTACGTGTGGTGATCACATCTACTTCAGGACCGATGTTACACAAGACGAGATGTGTGGTCGGCAATGGAGGGCGCTACGTACTGGCAGATCGCTCAGCGACATACACGGGTCTCGGCTCAAGAGCTCTAATACTGAAGGTAGGTGATGGCTGTTATATTACAGTGTGGGACAAGCACTCTTATAGGAATCTTATGCCTGCTTCTCATTCAAATCTATTTTTTCATGAATCATGATAGACCCCTTGCAGTACGTCGGAATAGAGCGCAATTTTGAGGACATAACAGTTCTTTCGTTTTGTCCTTCAAATTGAGCTGCTTTGACGTCGCATGCAAGGGGTCCATAGAGCGTTTTCACGTGACGTCACAGCGGCCAAGTTAGTGTACCAAAACAGTACATTTTCTATCCTCTGGGAATTGAACTCTATTTTTATGCAAAAAAAGTGCAGAAAGTTTCTATTGTTTGGTACACCAATATGGCTGCCTCCTCATGCGAGTGAAAACGCTCCATAAGAAAAGCATTGAATCGCGTCACTGTAACGAAATTGCACCATTGCACTTATAATCACGGAGAGAGTCAACCATTCTTGATTTCAGATTCAGATGACGGCGCTCCTCGTAATCATGACAACACGTCGTTGCCACGTTACGTCGAGTTTCTCACGTGGATTAACAGCGGAGCTTGTGACGTGGATGCTACTTTCTTCAACGACAACCATCGCGGGCTCCTGTCAGCGTTCACTAGCATGAGTCTGAGTACCCTTGACGACCGTGATACATCCTGGAGAAAGGATATTCTGCGAAGGTTGCGCTTACGTGATCAACAGCAGGTGAACGCGTTTGGTGCCTACGAGGAAGCTATTTCACAGGTATCTCTAAAAACAATCTGAACCACGTGATTTTGATCTATTTTTAGCCTGGGAAATGTTTTGGTATTACTTTACTTCTTACTTGATTCATTTACCTGGGCGCGGTGTTACGAAGGGTGGATAGCGCTATCCGACCGATAAATCTTATCCAGTGGATAAATTTATTAAATAACAGCATCGACTTATCCAATGGATAAGGGTTTATCCGTCGGATAGCGCTAAGAAAACTTTGTCTTTTCCGACAATGTCATGGAAACACTTTGATTGACGTCCACCAAAACCTTATTTTGTCGAGACAGAAAATTGCACGATTTCGCGCGTGTGATCAGGAAGCGCCATAACTAGTCATAGAATATCCTGTTAGAATTAATACTTGTTGAAAATTGTACCGTCTGGATTAGATAACGAGGTTCTTTTGTTGTTCTGTCAGGGAACATGGTCCAAGAAAGCCCGATGTCAGATACTCATGGACACCCAGTTTAACTTATGGTCTGATAGCGTTATAAAATTGAACCAAGAAAAAAACAACAAGGACGGCGAATTGATCTGTTACTACGAGAAGAGTGCGCCTTATCTAAGTTATGGAGAACTGCGTATCCCCTTTTCAGAAATCACATGTGTTAGTATAATACATAAAATGGCTCGTCACAACTGCATGGCGGTATTTACCTCGTCAAGAACACTTGTGCACAATCCCCTTCTTATTTCATTCCCTAACGAGAAAGAACTCAATGACTGGCTGACGACCCTTTCTTCAGCGTCCATGCAAGCCCATGGTATTCAAGGCACTGTACCATCTAAGGCCCTCTGGGCCACTTCGTCGTGTGGAGACGTTTTTGTTAGCGAGAGTCTGGGTCTAGAAGGATGTGCGCAGTCGCACAGATTTTGGCGCCAAATTGGAGGCCATTTGAGTGTCGTTCAGGCTGGCACAGGGGGAGTGGTTTGGGGGATTGGTTTCGATGGGAACCCATACGTCTACACTGGTGGATATGGTGGCGGTGTTTTCGACGGGTTTCTTAGCAGCTCCATTGGTATTCATAAACAAGAGGATTACGATGTGCATTTTATCTACGAGAATCAACGATGGAATCCAGTCGAGGGCTTCTCTGACAGGTGAGAACCAGCTTTGTGCATTGTGAGACTGTTTCCAAGATGGCGTCTATTCCGTCCCCTAAAACGATCCCACAATGCAGTCATACCAACTCGACCCAGTTTTTTTTTCTCGTCCTCGGAACGGCTAATTGATGGGCTCAATGCAGTGATCATGGTTTTTTTTTCTATTTCTAGTGCTATAAATTACTGTGTTGTTTGTGCTTACTGATGTGCATTGTTTTCCATACAAACACAGGCGACTCCCAAGTGACCGCTATGTATGGAGCGATAAGAGTGGAGTGTACGAGCGAACGAAAGAAGGCTTCCTGCTGCCCTCAAGTCAATGGCAGTGGATGGGCAATTGGCAGATTGATACACGACCAGGGACCACAGATAATCAAGGCTGGCAGTATGCTGTGGACTTTCCAAGGTGAGAACTTATTTCAGCTTATTTTCCAACTTAATTCAGCTAGGCCCTTCAGTTAAGCATGCCTGTGGATGGAGTTATGGTGCGCTTTCCATTTATCCGGAAAATGCGGTAGGAAAAACAAATGGTTTGTGTCATTCCAATCGGAAAGTTCCGGAAAACTCGGTCTTCGATTGAGGCAATCCACTTTTCCCGCTCTTTTCGGTTCTTCCGGTAGACGCGTGTGCCATTTTTCAAAAGTCAAAGTTTCCCGCTCTTTTCTTACCACTAGCAAATGAATTTCCAACCGGATGGATTGGTTGAAATGGTAAGCACCCCTGTGCTAGCAGTATTAACTATAACCCAGGAAACATGGTTGGGGTGCGCCGCACCTGCGTCCAAATCCCGGGTTCGGTGTCGTATGTGAGTACTTAGAGTTGTTTGTTGGTTTTCTTCAGTGTGCATCGAAAGCTTTCACCTAGTTGGAGCCTACAATCTTCTGCAAGAATAATGTGCCACTTTCCCCCTAGCAATGTTGGTCAAGGAAGTTTTCTACACTGTGAAGCGGTTGGCTGGTAAAATGCATACGAGACAACATTGCTACGGGGGGAGAGGGGGGATGGTCCTCCAGAATACTAAGGGGCACATTTTATTTGCAAAAAGATTGTAGCTCTGTCGTTACTGTCCCACGCTTTGATACAACAGCCAAAGCTTAATTAATATTTCCAACTTAACTTGACACACCTGGCATATGATGTCGAGACTGTAGTATCTTTTCTCTACGCACCATTTACATCCCATGGCATGTAGAGTAGCACATTCAAGGCTTCACTCTACGCCAACGTTTGCTTTTATGAGCAATTTCGAAGTTACATTTCTCTTTCAGGCATTACCACGCCGAGAAAAACTGGAATGACTACGTTCGCAGACGTCGATGGAGAAGGTTTGTTGTCATATACTTTTGTAGCGCAACTGGTATCACGAATCTACTCCAATAACCTGTTTGTAAGGCACCCCTAGAAACAGTTTAAGTGAAAACTATTTCGTTTGCAAGTCAATAATATTAGCGCATTCGTACTTAAAAGGATAGGCATTCTGCGGAGTACTCATAGCGGACGTTCTTTTATGGAAAAAAAGATCTTTAAGTGGAACCGATGAACATGTCTCATATAGGCCTGAGGAAGTTCTTCAAAATACAGTAGTTTTTTAACTTGTACGCAATGGACTATGTGCACCCAATTCCTATAAATGCGTTTCTTTATCATTCTACTTCTAGACGTTGCAAGCTGACTACAACAGGACCCTGGCTGCTAATACAGCCTACAGTCAAACTACGCGATGTGTCTGTACAGATCGATGACGTCGTGTCAGATGATGAAGAGATCTCTATGTGGGTGGTTGGGAGTCAAGGAGATGTGTTGTACAGACATGGAGTAACAAAAGCGTGTCCTCAGGTATTCATAGCCTAGAAATGTATATCGTACAACTCAGTTTAGACCGTGCGGTTGTATTTTTGGGGGTGCGTATGTTCTTAGTGTGGGTGTCTCCATGCCTTGGGACGGTCGAGTTTTACGGCGCCATCAGTCAAGACAAGTTGTACGCTGCTGCTGTAATACTCTACGATACTCGTCTACCCTTTTCCTAGTAGTCATCGTCTCAGTTTAGCAACGCACAATAACCTACCTTGCTTAGCCGTGCATTCCTTTAATCGTTATTTCGGTACTCCATGGATCCGGCCAAGGGGTTACACGATTTCTCTCTAGTAGTGGCGGGTTCTCCCGCACCTCTCCTCCTCGAGTAATCCACTCCAGTTTTCTCAACTAACATTTTTATATCCTTAGGGACATTCCTGGCAGCACATCATCGCAGATGTTCCGTTTCGGAGCATATCAGTCGGTGGTGAAGGTCGTGTTTGGGGTGTGGCTGAAGATGGTACATCTTACTTTAGAGCAGGTTTTGCTGATAACGAAAAAACAGGTTCGAATGATTCGATATACCTGCTTATATCTTACATCACGGTTAACTCCTTTTTTGTTAGTACTCGAGTCATGTTTAGCTTTGATTTATCTTATATAAATTAACTTTAAATTACAGTTCAACAACTAAGACAAAATGATAATTGCGGGCAGGCGGCCCTGTTAAAACAGCAATTGTTTCATTCCCCTTAGCTGTTGTTAATTTTATGCAGAATATTGGACGTCTGAAACCATTCGCCTGGCATATTAAGAAGAAAAGCAATCGCTCCAACTGATTATTAATCTATATATTTGGCTACTGTTTTCCAGGAAGTTGCTGGTTTCATATTGCGGATAGACCGCCTTATCTTGTACAAGTTTCTGCTGGGGCTTCATCAGTGTGGGCAAGAGACAAGGAAGGTAAGGCAGGTCTCTGATATATGAATTTAGGCACTGCTTAAAAGCGAAGCTCCCATTGTTTTAGACACAGGGAGCCCAATTTAGGTAAAACTGAAAGGTGAGAAAAAAAGCGGTGAAAAAAATCACGGTGTTTTAAAACCTTTAGGGTTCGATTCGCATGCATAGGACTCAGAGAAAGTGCATCTTGGTTTCAGTGAAGGCTGCATACAACTATTAATCGTTTGTTTATACCTAACCTAGAAACCAAATATTTTGTCTTAGTCCTAACTTAGAAAAGGCCTATGAATAGACCTATCCCGAATTCGCTTGACTGACCACGAAACAATATCTGTCTGCAGGCACACTGTGGTACCGGATCAATATATCAGATGTATATCCAGAAGGAACAGAATGGATAGAACAGGGACACGTTTCTCACCTTTCCACAGGACCTAACGACCAGGTATCTTGAGTTCTTTGACAGCGATTGCAAAGGCAAATTCCTGTGCTTTGATTGGTTGAAAGAATCGCGTGCTCTAGCTTAAAGCCATTTTACCTCACTCATCTCAATTACCTTTCTTTATTTGGATTTCAGTTGTATGTATGTCATGAAGGAGCTATAAAATCACGAACCAATATTACCGCTGATAATACCATGGGCTCAGGATGGGATATCGCCCTATGTGTAAGTTAATACTATCCCTTTATAGTAAACAAGCCGAGATTCTTTTTCTACAACAAAATTGTACAGTAATATCACTTCTGGATAGACCATTTGCATGTGACGTCAAAGGAGCTCAATTTGGAGGGGAAAAAAACTAGTTCAATCTCAAGAGAATTGGAAACCTATTCTTATGTCCTCCAAATTGAGCTGCATTCCGACGTGCTGCAAGGGGTCTATATATCTATGATTGAAATGACAGAAAAGTGTCATCAACCAGAGAATCTATTTCAAAAATACTTTCTTTACGAAAGTTGATGAGAACGATGACATCACTCGTTGATAAATTGATGATTCAAAAGAGATGAAAACGTTTGAAGAGACGACAGTTTCCAGTATAATTTTAAAGTCAAAAGCCGCGTAAATCAATTTATGAAATAACTGTTATAAATCTCGCATTCTGATTGGTTGGGAGCGCGTGCTTTATGAGAGCACACAGCACACAGCACGCACGCGCCCTTTGCATTTTATAAAAGAAATAAAAAACTTGCTTGCTGTGCTGTATGGAGTTATAAAGCACTTGGGATTGGCAGAACACTCGAGAAGTGTCAGAAAGTACTCCGCTACGTGTCGTGTATCTCCTAACACTTATCTCGTGTTCTGTCAATCCCCGCGTGCTTTATATCTGCACACAGCACGCGCGCGCCTTTTCTATTTCTTCACTTTCGCGGCGTTTTCGTTGCAGGACCACTGGTGGACGGTATGCACGCGATCTGATTTTCAAGAACAAAAAGCCAATGATGATGAATATCCTGAAGACATAGAGAAAGGAGAAGACATTGTGAGTGAATTTACCAGTGAAGGGACAACTGCACCAATCAGAGTGCCCAATGCGAAGGGTAGTGCGAAGGGTAGTGCCATGAAGCACACGGGTCCAATGAGCATGCCGTTTTATCGTGAGGTTACTGGTATCGAGGAAAAAACAGGCGCAATGAGCCTACAAATGAATCTGGACCTCAGCAACGTGGATATCTATACGCAGTTCAGCGAAAATAAAAAGAGGAAAGATGATGACGAAAATAGTGATGATGATGATGATGCTGATGATAACGTAGTTTTTATCTGATGTATTATTATGACACAGTGTCATCCTCAGTTCAGTGGACTTTGAAAGGAAATATGACAATCCAAGACGATGTTGACGGTGGAGATCATAATAGTGATAAAGATAGTCATAATTTCCATCACGTAACTCCTGTATATTTTTAAAAAGACGGGACTGCGAATCAATGAATTCCAAGAATAAAGCCCACGACGACGATTATGATTATCACACACACCATACTTTCATATCTCACTAATAAATTTTCGCAGATCAGTAATGACGCGATCCAAAAAAGCCACAAGACGACAACGAAGAAATTGATGGTAGTATAAGGATTGACTGCAGACTTGATGATGACATATTCTTATTTAGTAGATGATGCACTTGTTTAGATGTGATCAATCCTAGATTACTTGGATGGTTGTTGTCTCACCGCAAACTCCCGATAAAGAATGGTAGAAAAATCCCTTTGACGATGATGAATATCAATGATACTTGACGATGATGATACTTGATTAATATATCCTTGTACAAGAAATAACGACGATGGTAATGAGTATCACTTGATGTAACACATTCATAACATGAAGAAGGCAAAGCTGTGATGATGATACCATGCAGTGACGAGGATATCATGCAATCGCAATGATGGTGGTTATGACGACGGGAATCACTTTGTATACCACTGATCCAAAAGATGATGGAATACACCAACTTCCCTAGAAGATGGCAACAAAGACGCGATGATGATGATGATGAGCACCATCAAGGTATAGCCAATAYATGACAGCGTAAAAATTCCTGAGAAGACGTTGATAATAACGACGATGTTGACAATGCTAATAATGATGATGAAATGAGCATCAATTAGGAAATCACATCCAATTAATAATAAAATAAATTTCCTTAAGAAGACGAATGACGACGATCAATGAACATCACTTGGTATGCTACATGTATTAACTAAAACAAACGCGATCCTGAGAAGACGACAGAGGTGACGATATAAAGTATAAGTCGTATCACTTGATAATGGTAGATGATACCAGTACCTTCCTGATGATATCTTCTGAGTTAGAAAGTCTTGCTAGCGCATCTTTATCACATCCTGAACAAAAGGGAAACAAAATAATGAGAAGACAGTGGCAACTTAAGTACACCTTTCTGTACTAAACAAACTTGAACCAAAACACTTGTGAATATGATTGAAAACGAAATGAATCAACTTTATTAAGACGCGGGAATAATTGGAGGGTGCCAATGGGAAACCCAATTGTGAGATAACTACTAACGTTTTGGCCGAATCTTAGTAACTGTAATTATTTCAAGAGCACTGGCCATAATATCAACCAAAATAAAAAAATATCAGTTAAATGTTAACTACTAATTTCTTTGTCAGTAAACTACTAGAGTACAAACACTAAAAGTGTGCAACACTTTGCACTATTTAGTAGTAAATAGTGCTAATTAAACAATAGAAAACAATAGGAATAGCATTATTCAGCAGTATTTAGTGATATTTATGTTACACACTTATAGTGTTTGTACTCTATTTTTTTGGCAAATTGTTATGTCAACTACTAACCCCATTGGCACCCTCTAATCGAGGTCGGGAGCTAGAGAAAAGGGAGAAGCATCCTCTATCGCTGGTAATAAATAATTTTTAAAAAGGAGGAAAATGTTCCATATATTTTGAATAAATATTAATAAGTTTATATTCTTGATAAGGTTGCCTAGCCAACACATCCCATGAAATAAGTTTGTTCTGATAAATAGTAATTTTTCTAAATCGCATTTACAAAAAATGTACATACCATGAACAAGAGAATATGAAGTAATATTACTTAATATTCTCTTGACCATGAATAAATCGAATGAAAATAAAAACTTACCAAATAAATCTTAATGTGGGTCTTTATACTTGAATCTAATGTGCCACGTTGTGTTCCGAGTCGAAAGCACAGGGTTCCCAAAGATTTGTTAGCACTAAAGGGTTTATGAACTACTTCGATGATACGGCGGCCATCTTGCCAGGGGGCAAAACAAAACAAAGATGACGTAAAATATCTAGAGTTTCGTGTGATTGTTTTTCTGTTATGTAAAGGGGATGGATGTGGCGTCTTGATTTATCTTTGTATTCTCTTGTGAAGAGCTGTTACTATCAATCGACTGACGTCATTACTGTAAGATTTATTTGCCCCCTGAACACCCCATAATACCTTGCGATTCAAGATGGCCAATGTATCGCCGTTAGTCCATTCCATTCTCCATTCTTAACCTGGGAACCCTGTGTTTTCATCGGACTGGATACGATAACTACGTTGAAGTTGGGATTCCTCTGTCAATCAAATAAAGACCTGTAAATAAAAATTGTTTTCATGAAATAAAAAATCTAAAACGTTTGGAAATTTCCTTCGAAACAAAAATAGGATATTGTATAACAAAAGGTTTCCATGACGCTACCTAGCAAAATTACATTTTTAAAATCTAAAACTGGTCGACAAAATAACTGTTCAAGCTTCCTCTTTTTAGTTTTTGATGGCTTGAAAAGGAGAAAGTCAGGTAAATTGTTTTTGCATGGTAACGGTTGCCATGGTTATATCAACCTACGTCATTTGTATCGCGTGAATTGCAACAGGTCTCGAATGAATAATTAATGTATTGGTGACTCTAAATCAAAGCTTTACTCTTTGGAAATAAAGACTATATTTATTCGTTGTTTTTTTTCATAATTGTTATCATTAGTGATCCATTATTTTACAGTATAGAATATTTTCATTATAGAATGATTGTTTAAACAATGCAGCCGCGTTTTTCACTTCCGTTGGATCAGTTTCCTTTGCAAAAGAAAAGAAAAATTGAATGCTCAACAAATTTTCAACAAGCTTGCTCAGTATAGTTAACGTTATACAATTTGTGAATCGTCTCGCTGATCAAGTTTAGCTGGGAGCTATATCAAATTTGAAATTCCACAAATTTTTGTCGAATTTTTTCAGACTTTACTTCCTGAGGAAAGGAACAAAATTCATTTAAAGACGACCCTAATAACTGGAATATTTTGAATCCGCTTGACAGGTTGTTTGACAACATCAAACTATTGTACGCATGCAACAGTGTCTCTTGCACCACATAGCGTCATTCGAGTTTTATGCATCGCTATGTAATCGCTTCGGCACACAAGCCTCTAATTTTTTAGCCTTAATGCTTCGTTTTCACCTTATTTGATTTTTACTTAATCACAATGGAAGACCTCGAGAATCCAATAGACGACCCAAATCAGCCTACGGTAACGGAGGAGTTACTACAAATCGTAGAGGAATTTGCAGACTACATTGACAAGTTTATGTTCGAGATCGTCACTTTTCTAGCCGTTATAGATTCATCGATGGGTCTCATTAAAGATGTGTTAGGAATGTTCGGCTTTGCTGGTTGGAAAATGACATTTTTTCCTTCCTTCTCGTTCGTGGTTACTATCGGGGTGTTCTTATTTGGTACTAATAAAAGAAAAGGAAAGCGGAAAGCAGAGGCTGCGCAGCTTGAGGGACTAGGAGAAGCCATGGAGATGATTGAAGATGTTTTCGAGGTGATGGATGATGTTATGGATGCAGTAGAAGAAGTTGAAGGCGAAGCGGGAACATTAGGCCTAGGGGACTACAGCGAAAGTGAAGACGATGACGATGATGATAACGGTGGTCAAAATGCTATCGAGGCTGAAACCAATGGTGTTGATGAAACCTCGGAAAAGGACGACGCGGTTGACAAAATTGATGTGGTTACAGATGAAAATAACCAAGATATTTCTCAGCAAGATGTTAAAGCTGAGGTTGAGCCTCGCGAGAGTGCTTTGCGCAAAGTCATTGGAATAGCCATAATAGCAGCAAGGATTGCCTCAAAAGTGACAAAGAAAAGGCAACAGGACCAAGAAGACGGGCAAAAAGAAGAAAGTGTAAATCTCGAAGGAAAAACGGGTGATTGTGGGACAGAAAATGAAAATGATGGCGAGTCTATGACAGGTACAAATGAACCCCCTACGGATAATAAATCAAAACAATTAAACAATACATGCAATCAGAGTGTACTTGGAGGACTTACACTAGGGGAAGACGGAACTGAGCTTAAGAATGAAGCATCTGGGTTAGTGGAAGTTGTGAAAGAAGACAGTATAAAAGCTGCAGAACTCGTTAGAGTAAATTCTCTTGGTGCAAGCAATGTTGTACAAGGCAGCACAAAACAGGTATTAACGTCAACTGGCGCATTGAAAGTTGGTCACGGTTCGTACAGGGAAGCGGACTTTATAACAGGACACTTAAACAAGGAAGGAAAAGCCATAGCAAAATCAGTTGAGAAAGATACAATAGAAAAAACAAGACTGCTTAAAGATAACGAAATTGTTAAGGCATCTGGAGTAGACAAAGCAAGCACTGCCGTATCTAGAGAAGCTACTTTTATTGCAGGCAATTTGAATCAAGAAGCCAAAACAACTCTCCATAATGATAAGCAAGGAGAAATTAGAGTAAAGAGAAATCCCAACACATCAGAAGCTAAGGTAACTGGAGATAAGAGTGGCTTGAGTTCAAGCCAACAAGGCAACAAGGAAGTTCACACAAGTTCTAAGACTCGGAACGTCCATCAGGCATCAACGAAACACTCGCCGGATGAGGTCGCAAGGCAGGAAAGAGAAACCAAAGAAAAAACAAACACAGTGTCTGTGACAGATATATCAAAACAACGACAACAAAAAGAAAAAACAGATTCAGAAGGAGACCTCCCTTATGAAGCACATCCCGCAGAAAACGTACAACAAAGTTTTCAGGATATATCAAAAATAGGAGATATTTGTGAGGAAAAACAAGATATTGAAAAGGGAAGAAAGAAAGTGGGGACAGAAACGTCTAAGTCACGAGGTAATCAAGACCCTGAGCGCTTGATTACGACACACGAGGTGTTACCAGAGAACACTGCGGTCAAAGGAGAAAAGAAAACTAAACAAGCGAGTGAAACAGAAGAAAGTCAAGACCCTGAGCGCTTGATACCTGAACCTCTGCCAGGAGTACCAGACATGGCGAGTAATGTGACGGAAGGAGCGCCTACTGCTGCGGGAGGAGCGTCCGCCGCTGCTTCCCAGGCAAAGCAAGGCTTAAAACAAACAGGGAAAAAGTCTAAGGGTCTTCTTCAAATCGCCATGAGACTAGTTCGCCTGATTATGAGAGTTACTAAGCGTGGAAACTCGGCTTCTAGTTCACGAGACTCGTCTCGAAGGGGCAGCACTGCAAGTGGGACAGGATCCCTTGGTGGTGAACCGGCAAAGGCGAAAAGATCTGCTAGTGGGGGAGGAGACGGGAGTGCCCCTGACATTGCTGGTGCTGCCTCCGCGTCTATGGCGATGGGCAGCGGTGGAGCAAAAGGTGGAAAAATTGGTGCAATTGTAGGCATTGTCGTGCGAGTCGTTCGATTAGCTAGTAAACTAAAAGGAGGCCAGAAAGATCCGTCTAACTCTGACCTACGCTCTTCCAAAGAATCCATTGACCTAGAATCGGATTCGGAGTTTTTTGACTGTGGCGAAGAATTTCCGACTCAAGAAATTCAAACTCAGACTGAAGATCGACTTTCTCTGTTGTCAATGGCAACGCAAACAACACAAACGGACGCTGGCAGCACATGGACTGTGTCAGCACGTGATTCAGGGGACCTAATAGACATGCGCAGTGATGAGAGTGAAAATAATTTGAGGAGATACGTGCATGCCTTTCAGGCTGATGCCGCTGTACAAAGGGAGGGGTCTCTAACAGGAAGTCAAACTAACAGACATGAAGATACGTATCAAGGCGGTAGCAATGATATGCCAAGTCATGATCAGGCTGCAAATGGCAAAAATCATAATGTCCGAGTAAATCAAACTCGACAATTAGATAATATGGTGCAAAGTTATCATGTTAACAGAGATATTCCAACTTCGTTTTCCAGGGACCAAAAGGGGACACATCTAGAGGAGCTTGAAGGTGATGATAGAGAACGTACCACGAGAAGGAACTCGACTGGTTCGTTACAGAAAATCACTTTGAAAATATTAAGTCCCAATGTTGATCCCTCCTCTCCTGAAGCTAAAAATAATCCGGACTTAAACTCAGTACTTTTAGATATTGATGCTCCCGTAGTGCTACATTACATACGAGATTTTAGGCCTTCGCCGAATGACGTGAACATAGTTGCCAATGGCAACCAACAAATCATTGAAAAACAAACTTTAAAAGATGAAGGAAGAAGGACTCAGCAGAGAGACGTTTCAAAAGATGAGTTCTCTGTACGTCAAGGAAATCTATATAAGTCTTCTTCAGTCGATCTAGATGAGTTGGAAAAACAAACTCATGAGAGTCGATCATCAACCCTGTATGACTCAGGCACAGACATTTCTGATATGAGCTTATCTAGACACGGGACTATTGTACCTTATTCTAGTTCATCTGAGGATTTACATGAATCTACACCGATTTTACCACGTAGACGTCCTACCGTTGTGCGCTTTGAGGACGAGTGTGAATACTCATATACCTACGACGAGAATGAACCTGTTGCCTCTTATCGCGAAAAGAAGAAAAAAAACCTTTTAAGTCGAAATAAAAACCAACAAGGAAAATCTAGCGGTTTAAAGGTAAAGTTTGATAGATTAAAATTAACTAAAATCATATTAGTGCTTATTTGGCAAATAGACCTTATCAGTCGAGGTGTTTGTTTACTCATTACAGACGGGACCATGTGTCATTCTCTTGAGAACAAGATTCTTTGTTTGAGTCGTATCCATATTCATGTGTCTTCTCATGCGCAACCGTTCAGAAATGATACTCTAGGGAATGACACGTGGTCTAGAATGGGAAAACATTGCAACAAGACAAAATAGTACTATTGATTGGAGACTACCGAAGACAACTCTTTGCAGAAATCAAATGTGCAAGACTTGACTAGTTCTATTCTTACGCCTATAAACGTACGACTTTTTAAACGGTACCGCGGTGTAAATGCAGCTCAAGAATGCACTGATTATTATATCGTATATTTGATGTTTTTTAATTGTAATGAGATAAAAAAAGGGAATCCCCCTTAAGCCCCGTTTACATTGGCGATTTTTGCGGCGATTTTTGCGGCGATTTTTGCTGCGATTTTTGTGGCAATTTTCGGAAATATGAAATCTTTTGTCTCATCCTTCAAAAGAGACATTCGTCTAGGAAAATCTTGGTATCCTGAAATAAACTTTACAAGTAAATTCTTTACCATTATTTATTATGGACGAAATCGCAAAAAAAAAAATTGCAGCAAAAATCGCCGCAAAAATCGCCAGTGTAAACGGGGCTTTAGTCATCCAACAATTAATTTTTTGATTTACAGTGTTGAAAAAATGACAGATTGAGAAAAACTTACCATATTTTTCAAGTCCTGAAAATCAATCCTATTCACGGAGACTACAATTCTGTTTAGTCAAGTCACGTGATTTCCTAAAATAGAATATAAAAGAAATATTAGCAGTGTAACATCATGGATATTAACAAGTCTTTAACTTTGATTTTACAGAAGTATAGCAGCCTCGAAAAATTAGATTACAGATTTCCTGAAGACCGGGATAAGAGTGACTATGAGCCATCGGCCGTATGTGTCAGCGGTTGTGACCAAGAATCGACACGCCTTCTGCCCGAGTACGAAAAGCCATCGATAGAACCAAGTAATATATTCGCTGCGCGAAAATCTAGACTTAGTGGCAGCCAAACGAGCTATTTTGGAGACGACGAATGGGACAAACCTGAAGCATTGTGTTGAGTGATCTGTCGACAGATTGAGAGAGCTAGTATATAAACTATCAAAACAGCAACCATGCAAATTCTGTCCAATCAGAATAAAGTGCCTATCTATGACGATGTAATAATGCACTACGAGAGATAAAATAATTTTGCTATTTCATCGACTTTAAGAACTTAGATTCAGACATGTAATTTCACTGCAAGGAATAAAAATATGAGCTCGACCGGGGTCAACAAAACAAGATGTCCACCAATCACGGACCAGCAAATGCCTGGGCCGATGACTATGACCAGCTTTGCAGCCCTATGTCAACAAAATAAAAAAAATATGTTATAAGATAGAAGAAACTAATGAGAAATCTTTTATTAAATACCACAAACACCGCGATGGTGTAAGCCGGTAAAGTCACAATAGTGGATTCATTCTTTGACGCCCTCCACATTTAACAAACGACAAGTCTCTAACTTATAGAATGTCTAAGAACAAAATGCAACGGTAAAAACAAAGGCTATGCAGCTATCATCACAATTAAATGAGAATCGAAGACAAAAAACACCGGCTAAATT